TGTATGTGTCTTAGGAGGCCCTTACTGGACAGGTACAGTTCCTGACTAGGATTTTTCATTGTAATATTAATGCTAATGGAGTGCTTTGTCTGGACATACTGGATAAGCAGTGGAGTCCTAGTCTAACGATGCAAACGGTAGTAGTAGTAGCAGTAGTAGTAGTAGTAGTAGTAGTAGTAGTAGTAGTAGTAGTAGTAGTAGTAGTAGTAGTAGTAGTAGTAGTAGTAGTAGTAGTAGTAGTAGTAGTAGTAGTAGTAGTAGTAGTAGTAGTAGTAGTAGTAGTAGTAGTAGTAGTAGTAGTAGCAGTAGTAGTAGTAGTAGTATAGTAGTAGTAGTAGTAGTGACATGTAGTGTAGTGAGCTCATAGGTATTACTCTCTATATCATCATTGTTGAATGACTGTAATGCTGATGATCCCCTGGAGCCAGACGCAGCATGGTTATTCAAGACTGATAGGGCCCTTCATGATCAGAGGGCGAGGGAGTGGACTAAGTAAGCATGCAGTAGTACTGCCCTTTGTTCTTATTCTTGTTGTTATGGTAGACTGTATTGTCGCAATCTGGCGAGTCCACAGTCGGCTCCTGGTTGTACCCCGTCGTCAGCTGAGGGTAGTAGCAGTAGTTCGATGGTTGCTCGGCCGGATTCGACATGACACAGTTTGACAATTGTCGTATATTATTGCCTCGCATGTGGAATATTCAATGTATGGCTGCGTTCATCATGCTTCTACTGGAGGACACTTTATTGAGTTTTTATCAATTCACTCCTCCTAGTCAGCAGCTACAGCAAGAGTTGTTGGAATGTATGTTTAGTTTCCTCAGCTGAGCTCACAAGTTTTCTCACTAATTATGAGAGTCTATAATCCGAATTATGGTAGAAGTGCACAGAAAGTGACAAGGCTCCTGAGAATCCCTCACAGTTTTTTTATATGTAAGCATGCGTGTAGTTTCCCCCTATACTGATCCTTTCGGCCTTTGTTATGGAGGAAATACTATGTTGTCATTTCGGAAGTACTACACCGATGGTTGCCTTTGTAGATGGGTACTGCGGCTGTCAACTTGATTTGATTGTGTCTCGCCTGTCTAAGGTATCATTGGAGTTTCATGAGCTGTGAAATGGAAAACACCAGTTGAGAGAGATATTTCACGACTACCGCATAGCGCAAATATCGCGTTTTTCACCGAGTGTTACAAATGTGTTACGAATGTGAGGAGAGGCCTTACGGGATAGTCTATTCCCTGTTGTTGACATAATGGCTGAAGAGCAGCAAGAGACTGTTCATAATCTAGACCCAGCAAGGATCGTCAGAGGCTTCCAGAATACTGCTGGGTGATACTGTATGCATGCCTGTTGTTATATGAGGCCCCACTTCAGGTATTGGCGTAACCTGTTCGGATTCCCTAATGAGGAGGATAAGAAGCTATCGGACGACCCTCAGGGGCTCATACCGGACCCTGAGGCGGAGGTCATGGCCCATGTTGCTGTTAAGTGTGCACAGGTATAGTAGCTGTCTTATTTAGTGACAAGTATGGTTGAATGTTAGATCGGTGCTGGTGTGGGGTTGATTGGCTCGTCCCTAGCAGCCCTAGCTATGGGCAAGCCTCATCTATATCGGAAGGCCTTCAGTCCTACCTGGTCTCTGGGTGGCCTTTTCGTCCTTACTCCAGTCATGTGGTAATACCATCGTTATGGTGTCTATAGCGCTGGATGATTTGTTGTAGGTATGGTAGGATGGTACGTGGTAATGTGGACTATGAGGGCTTCCTAGATAGGGCCTATAGAATAAGATTTAATCAGCGTAAGGGCAAGGGCGTATATGAATAGTAGGCTTGTATTCAGACCAAGTCATCACAGACCGCTGTGCATTGACGGGCGCAGCTATTGGAGGGGTCCTTGGTCCGATACAGGGGCTTGGCATGTCTAAGGGCCTCGTATTTGGATTCCTCGCTGGTACCTTTGGTGCGGGACTATACAACAATTTCGAGGCTATTGAGCATAAGGTATGGACATGGGTGCAGGGAAATAAATTCCTCATCTATATGCAGGTCGTGGGCAGGCCGGATGCCGCGAAGTCGTGATGCCAATTCTGTTGATAATTGTGCACAGGCCTATACGAAGCTATACGCCGAGTATAGGTATTCTCTTGTGCTGTATGAATAACATTATGTGATTTGATGATAATGATGACCTCATTTCTGTGAAGAGAGTCTGCAATGTATCGTACTCATCCGAGTTGTGATAAGAGGGTCCGGAGGGTTTCGCAGTTGTGCACAGTTTATGTCAAAAGACCCTCGACAGTATGACAAGACCGAGGGCTTCCGTTTAAGGTAGGCGAGGTTGGCCTGTGTGTTTGGTGATGGTTGTGGTGGTAGTGGTTACTCCCCATCGGTGATGACCAAACGTGTGGTGCATACGGCGACACCGGTGAGCTCGGTAATGCCATGCTGTCGCCATGGCTAATATGTCAGGGGTATACAGTACAACGTCAAGTAGTGCATAGCAGGCCTCTAGCCGCAGCAGCAGTAGTAGTTGATGATGATCATCATCACCACAAAGTGAGGCCTTTGCTACAGTGTGGAATGTACATTTACATACGTAGGATCATCGTACTGTAATCCGGTCGGGACCGCCACCACTCGGTCCGGCTCATGCGCATCTCACGGGAGGCCAGCTGGGAGATTATCATCCTGAGTAGAGATATTGCTGGTCATAGTATTGGTAGTGTCGGTGTAGGTATGGGAGGGCTGGTGTAGTACATCGGCACTCGGGAGGTAGTAGGTCATGGGACTAACGTTGTGTTGATCTTTGCTTCAGCGCCGCCACCTGGGTACGTCAGGGTGGTCTCTGGCGGCAAGCCAGGTGGGACTCATTTGACCATAGCATCGGGCAGGGGTCGCCTTAGGGCAAGAGGCCTACTACTGTCCAGCTGTGGAGAAGAGATATGACAATATAGAGGCGGCATGGGCTGCGTATGACCATAACAAGGCCGTGCCCCAGCTGGGACCAGCGAGTACATACGCCCATCAGAATCGACTACCTCCAACTGGTGGCTTCTCATCATCATCTCAGGGGGAGGTGACGGCTATATGAGCATGCATATATGGTAGTATTGCTCTCAGGACCACAGAGTGTCTGGCAGGGACTCGCACAAGACTAAGGTGGGATCGAGGTAGGGAGGGGTGTGGTATGAGGCTCCTGCTTGTTGAGACATCGTGCCCTCGTCACGGTGGCCTCGGCTGCCCTACTGAGCCCAACACTGTATTGTTTGCCTGCTACTATACTAGGCATGGTGGGGCCCAGAAGGATGCGGGTAAGTCGTGGCAACTGATGGAGATTCAACGGCATGACCGATGGAGTATGAGGGCTAGGTTTAGGCGGTGGTTGAATAGAAGGAGGATACGTAGGCATGTCAAACGGCACATGTACTGCCTATACATGGCAGGGGCTCACAACACCGTGACGAGAGGCTCTAGGCTGGGTAATGTAGAGGTCCTGTTTAGGTGGTGGAGAACGATGAGGGCATCACAGAACCCAGTGGATGCCCCTCCACCTGACAAGGTGATGATGGGTGGTATGGTGGTAGGGAGGAGGGGTGGCGGTAGTAGGTACCACAGCCGGGCAGGGATAAGCTGTTCATGGATAAGGACTTCTCGCCTTTGGATTCTAGGCGTACTATAGGTGCCATACCATTCGATCCTGTTGGTGTTCAGGAAGGTGTGGTAGGTCCTGTTAGCAGTGAGGATGGGAAGTCTCGTCTACGGCTTACCCCGGCCGAGCGGGATGAGGCAGTGTGGATACGCATACCAGATTTGATAAGAATGAACTGTGGTCTTAGCCACGATGATATGGTAGGTCCCGAGAGGATTCGACCCTGCCTATATTAGGAACAGGTAAACCTATTTGACGATACTATTGAGCCCAATGACCTCATCCAAGGAGTTGTTGGGGACTGCTGGCTCCTGGCCAGCATGGCCTGTCTGGCGGAGTTCCCCGATTCAGTGGTGGAACGTATTGAGCCTAAGGTGACCGGAAGGGCATCCTCTCCCTAGGATGTGTAGTGTGCTGTAGGTCATCTCGCCTGAAGGTAAGTATACAGTGAGCTTGTATGACCATACTAAGTGTAGATGGGAGGACATTACCATAGACGACTATGTGCCCTGCAAGTGAGGGGGGGGGGGCATGCCCTTTCTCAAATACAGTGGATATCATCTTGGCAGGTACTATGCTGACTACTCCCAGGTTCCTTACAGGATCAACCAACAGGGCAAACGAGTGTATGTTAATGAGCATGTTTGATATGTAGGGTACGCCTTGTCAGTTACGATGGTCGAGTGAAGCCTCGTATGCGGTATAGGCCCCTCTTTGCAGCTCCTCATGGCAACGAAATGTGGTATGTCGTTGAGCTCACCTTCATCGGCTCCTGGGGTGTACTAGGTGTTTGATACTAGAGAAAGCCATGGCTAAGTTCGTAGGGTCTTATAGTAAGATCGCTGGAGGACATGAGCCCTTTGCCTTCATGACGATGACAGGCTACTCCCAGGTCTATGAGTAGGCTGATGCTTGGCCCCCCTAAGGGCCATGACCACCACCATCACTTGCCGGTCAGGTTTAAGCGTAAAGCTTTGGATAAGGACATGAGCTGTGCTGAGGTTGGGGTGTGGCAACGAGGATGGGCTCAGTGGTATAGTCGGGATAGGCCAACTTGTGGGTATAAGCCCGTCCAGGCTGGCAAGACTGACCGAGGCGGAGCGTTGTCCAGCCAGTACTAGTCCTATGTTACTATGATCAACATTATCTATGGTGTTTTGATAGGTATAGTAACGATGCCCTCTTTGATAAGTTATTGAGCTATGATGGGCGCAACTACCTCATGGCCGCCTGCATCACATGCTTCCGTCAGCCGGAGACAATGCAGGGATACTTTAGGTGAATTGCCGTAGTTGCGCCCACCTTAATCGTGGATGGCAGGTCCGATGGTTTGGTCCTTGGTCATGCTTATAGCCTCATATCTGCCTGTCGGGTTGGCAACATACGCTTGGTCGGTAACATCATGCGTCTACCTTCTCGTAGGGGTGTTGGAGGAATACATTTTCGCTCCCCTCAGCAGCAGCTGAGCTCAGGAGTGTCCTCACTCGTTACAGCAGCTCATATACGAACTCGAATAGAAGTGTCAAAAGCCCAGCAAAAATTTCCCTGAAGTTTCCTTGGGACTTTTATGCTCTCACCGGCACATGTAGTTGACCATGTGTATATATTTCCACACTGCCTGGTAGTATATGTAGTCGTATTAGGTGCAGTTGCGTAACCCTCATGGCAAGGGTGATGGCATGCAGACTACTGAGTGGAATGGTCGCTGGTCTGATGCGGACCTCACCACGTGGAGGGCCCACCCGCAGCTAGTTGCAGCCACTGGCTTTGCCCCGGGTGATGACGGCATGTTCTGGATGAGCTTTGAGGACTTTGCTGCCATCTTCGATAAGGTGGGGTTCACCTGGCCCGCGATCGTCGTCGACTTGGGTCGTCACAGGTTATGATATTGGCCATGTCGATGAGCCAGCCAAGGGCCGCCCTCTCCCATAGTAGGCGAGGCAGGAAGAGCTCATGTCTGCCGTGCTTCTCGAGGAGTAGGGGGGATGCGCCAGGTGAGTTCAGGGTACCTCAGCGGACCTGATCTGTATGTATAAGATATGTCACGTGACTTCATGCGAGTTGAAGCGGAGCGGTTAACCCTTGGTGTAGCTATGAAGGCTATACTCCATGATGAAGATGATGATATGCAGCAGAGGCGCAATGTAGTAGTGTACCGATGCAACCACGTAGTTGTTGCTTGTCATCATCAGTTACTAGCCTACAGGCAGATGTCAATGTACCCTTATGATCCCTACCTCAATGCTCCTCAGTGGGTCAAGGCGGACCAACGTCTGTGGAAGAAGTGGCTAGATGAGAAGGGTATCGATTATAGATAGAGAGCCTTCTTGTATCCTATATACAGCTACTTGTCGTTCTTTGTATCAAAAGCACTGTAAGCACCATTTTACAGTTGTTAGCATGTACTCGTTAGAAGAGCCAGACGCGGACATGTTCCTATTGCCTCCTAGTGTTGGGTGATGGTAAATGAGGGGGGCCTTCTTCCTATCAACAGTTATTGTACCCGAACGGGCTCTTCCAAGTCCAAGCAAAGAAGTGGTGCATCGGACGGAGGCTCGTCCTCTGATGGTAGACAGGTCAGAGCTCAGGAGGATTACGACGATGATTACCTGTTCGAATTGGATCAAAGTGCGGTGGAGGCAGAGGTCAAGCGCCTGCAGGAGGAAGCGGACATACGGGTACAGCGGGCAGGGTTGGGGCATGTTCATCTTCCTCAGCTGATCTCGGGAGGTCCCTCACTGATTATAGAAGTTTGCATACGAGTTCGGGCGGAAATGTTGAGAAACCAACAAGAATTTTCCGATGTTGAGAAACCAACAAGAATTTTCCGGAATTTCCTCAAAATTTAGCTGACCATGTGGGTATGCTCTTCCCCACTGTGTTTGTTATGCATCAGGAACGTGAGGAGGCTAAGAAGCGCGCTGAGGCAGAAAAGGAGAGGAAACGGGTTGAAAAGGAAGGTAGTAGGGTCCGATGGGCGTAGGCGACTACTCCATGCAGCTGCAAGGAAGAAGCGTAAGAGCCTTTACTTGGAGAAGATGGACCCAGTGAGGACCTTGGAAATGCAGAGAAAAAAACGGAGGGGTAGTAGTAGTGGCAAGTCGACCAACGAGGAGGGGAATTGTTGTTGAGATAGATCGTGAGAATTATAAGCCTTTGAAGCCAGGACAGGAGTACAGCGATACTGATACGGAGGAGATCATTGAATGGGCCTTTGCTCGTCGGGACTACCTTATTAAGAGCAAGGGAAAGGCGGTAAGAAGTCGACCGGTGTCTGTGGTGTTCGGTTCGGGGGAAGTATGCATATGGTCAACTACATGCGCATGTGAATTCTGAGGCGGATTCTTGTTGGTTTCTGAGTATTTTTACCCGAATTCGAGTGCAAATTCGAATTTTCGAGTGTTCAGCTGAGGAGAGCGAACACATAGTCCAACACTGGCTGTCTCTCCCTTGGCAGGGGTTGAAGGAGGCTAAGGAGTTGGAGAGGCGTGCATTGCTGCATTTGGAGTGGAAAGAAAGGAGGGTGGAAAGGAGGGGTAAAAAGGAAAAGAAGACTAGGGGGGCAGGTGAGGATCGTGTGAGGAAGAAGAAGCCTGCTAAGAAGAGTCGGGAGGCCCCTGAGGGTCGTGAGGAAAGGAAGAAGGCAACAGCAACAGCAGCAGAGGGTGGTTACGATGGTGTTGGATGTTGAGGGGGCATGGTCGCTGTATAGGTACGGGGGAGGGCCGCAGTCGTAGCCCCAAGAGGAGGAATAAGAAACATAAAGGGAATAAGAAGAAGAAAGCAGAGGCGTGAGGGGCCGGCAGAATACGACTTGGTTATGTTCTTGTGGAAAAATGTTGAGGTTAAACTAGTCCTACCGTTCCTTAATAACATCATGCTGGTGTAGTGGTAACGTGTTGTGTTCATCATACTACTATAGTAGTAGTAGTGGACTTGTCCGTATAGGACTAGCAGGATCTTTTCGTAAATGCAACCCCGATCGCGGCAGCATACGAGATCCCCGAGGTCCCGATCAGGTAGTGCCCTCCCGTAGGGGTAGTCCTCCATCACTCGTCATGTGTTGTCAGGCGGCACGCCCGTCAGGGGTGGACGGGCTAGGGTGGCTCTTGACAGGTAGTACTACTACTACGACAGCAGCAGCAGCCGACCGCGGCTACCTAGCATCGCTTTGGTCAGTCCGGCTGGTTCCTCTGAGACCAGCGAACCGATGAGCCCTCCACCGACAGTCCCCAGCCCTGTGAGAGCCCCTCCTCCACCACCACCACCAGCAGCAGGTAGGTATGCGTACAGTGTTATACGAGATGCCGCATCTGGTCATTGTATGTAGGTGTAAGGAGGGGAACTCCCCCCAGGATGGGCCGAGTTGCTGCCAAGTGGGATAGCCCCTGCGGTTTGGTATAGTCTATGCGCCCTCTTTATAGGACCTCTCCTAGAGCTGTTGGGTCATCGTCGGGATCTAGTGAGCCGATGAGCCCACCGAGATCGGTCCCAAGCCCCAAGAGGGCTCCCCGCCGCCACACAGGGGCAGGAGGACCCCTACCCCTCCTAGGCGAGGGGCCACCGCTCGGCCGTCATCTCCTATCACTCCCCCAGCTGGTCTACGTGGAAGTGAGAAGGCTATCCTTTCTTAGGTTGGCTGGGGCAGCTGGCCCAATTGCAGGTCCAATGAGGGGAGCAGTGCAAGTGAGGGGCACTCCTCCTCCAACAGCACGGAGGGCAAGCCCCACGCGGTAGTAGTATGCTAGAGAGCAGCAGCCGGCTCTAGTGGTGTTCCCTGTAGTGCACCAAGGCAGCCGACAGCACCTCCGGGGCGCAGACCATCGACCAAGAGAGGGGAGCGTACGAGTAGGGGAGTGGGTCTCTTATGGTGATGCCTTTCTTAGGTCGCCCGAGTGGTGGGACGGATGGTGGCAAGAAACGGAGGTGATCGTGTGGGAATAGGTCGGAAGCGCTCAGTATCGTCTTCTTGTGAGGTTCCGTCCTGGCACCAAGGCACTGAAGGAAATACGACAATTTCAAGTAAAGGAAGACGCAGAGTCGTCGTCGTGATGGTCTCAGTGGTCGTGGTTATATTAGCGTACAACGGAGCTCCTGGTTCCGAAGGCACCATTTGCCAGAGTGGTTCGTGAAATACAACTACTATTCGTCGGAGAGGAATGGAGGTAGTAGTAGTCCCCACGTTGGTCCACGATATACTTCTATCTCTGTGCTTAGATGGTCACGTGAGGCGCTGATAGCATTACAAACCGCCGCTGAAGCTTATCTCGTAACGAGAGTGATCGTCACCATGTGTAGGGTCGTTGTTGGTATCATCATCAGGTGGGACTATTCGAAGACGCCATGTTGGTGGCCATTCATGCTAAACGGGTTACTCTAATGGCTAAGGTGACGAGGAGGGGTTTCAACTGTTGATGATGGAAGTGGTTCTCAGGATATCCGCTTAGTGCGTCGAATAAGGGGAGATGTTTTCGGATAGTTGTTGAAATCACTCCAAGAGGCCTCAACGTATGCAATGCATGATTATACCATAATGCTATCATGGAGATCGACGACAACCCGATAACCGCGTTATTATGTTTCCCATTCCCATCGCGAAAGTGCCCCCTCCACTGCATGGCTCTTACTGTTCGTGTTGCGTTGTCATACCACACCATGGCCGCATCCTAGCTTTATATTCCTCTATGGTAGATGGGGCCGACGACGGGTGCACGTTAACTGTCACTATACTTGCATCTTCTACTGTGTCGTCGTGCTATTGTATTCACGTCATCACTATTACCAACACAGGAAGGACGAACTTAGAGTATAGTCAATATCCTTCTTGGCTATAGTATGTCTCACTGAATAGCAGATACGATGTATTCCGGCACTACAATGAGTTCGCGGTCCTAGCCACTGATTTTGAGGGCTCCACTGGCAGGCCCCCACCGTAGGTCGTCGTCGATTGTCACGGGGACAACTGTGTCGGGTACAGGTACCCACTACCGCCCTCTCTGGAGGCATCGACTTTCTACAATGATAAGAGTATGGTGGAGGAGCATTGCAGAGAGCTTGAACTGTTCGTTGGGTGTGGACTACTCTCGCACTGTGTTTGCCGTATTGCTTGTGTGTTTAGTTATCTCCTCTCCTTCTCTTCGGACCAGGGGGTGTGGAAGCTAGTCGTGTCAAAATTCCTACAACTTGATGATGGGACTACTAGTAGTAGTACGAAGTCCCCCCTCCCCCACTTGTGTTATTATCACATAGTAGGTTCACTAGCCTTCGTTGGCGACTCAGCGGGTCATCCTGATATAAGGCAAGCCCTTTATGGTTACAGGCCCTCTAGTCCTCTCTTGTCTCCATCTCACGATCATCAGGTAGCAGGGGGTCAACACTAAGCGTCGTAGATCTTCCTTTTAGTGTGCCGACTCAGCGACACCATCCCATGCCGAGGGGTCCCGTACAAGCTTTGCGCGTTATTTGTACGACAAGCTCGTGCATATTATCAACTGCTTCAGGAGAGGTACGCTCCGAAGGCATCAGGAAATCCTCCCCTCCCCCAAGATTTCACTAGAGTCGTTGCAAAGCACAGTATGGTGAATTGCTGTAGGTCATAGCCGCCGAGGGCCGTCTCATACATACCATAGATCTAGACGTCGGAGGAGGAGCCATCTGGGATGCCGGAGGAGCCATCGACGATGAGTGAGGATCCGACTGTCCGATGTGCCGCCTCTTGTGGTCCTCTATTCAGGTCCATCTACTGCCAGGTGGGGAATGGTACATCCCATGGGCCATCACTGGGTAGGTGTATCCCTCTGTCTACAGCCTCTTCGCGAGTTATTCTCCATGACGCTACTATGTGAACGGTTGCGAGACTGCCTTTTCGGACCGTTCTATTGTCAATTATTTTCTCAACTACCTAGCTCTTACCAAATTATAAGATAACCATTCTGAGGTTGTGTTGTACCAAGATGGTATTGGCCATAGTCCTCTCGTAGTTGACCGACTCTTTGGATTTTATTGATGCATCACATGCATAGTCGATTTCTCTGTCCTCTGATAATGAGGTATATAGAGACTGAACGAACCATTGATTGATACCCTGTCTGGTGAAGGCCTAATGAGAGTTGGGCATCGTATGGTCGATCCGGCTGTACTAGAATTCTTCCTGATATGGTGTCATGATACACCGAGAATAAGCACGAGGAACCTTATTATGTGGATGTTACTGTGCTCCCATGCTGATTGTTTTGACCCCTCAAAACTCCCCTTAAAAGTCATTTCGGCTGGCCTTCTTGCGTTAATAGTATCGTGGAGAGGCGGGATGCACTACGAGTAAATTATTGATATCCGTAAACAGCAATTAGAAATTTTGAGAGGTGTGGACGTGAAGTCTATGGGATGCTATGGTGAAGCACGAGTAGTAAATTAATGCGACAACTCAACACGTATAAGGCACTGCAATAAGAATTATACTGTAAATGGTTCCATCAGCAACAGCATCACCATCGGAATAACAGTCGACTGCAGAAGGAGTATGCTGAGCATCCGCGATGTGATTCGATGAATAGTCCGAATATCAGTGTGAGCCACAGTATGTGACATCAACGAAAATAGCGATGATGATTATGATTATGACTGTTCAGTATATTAACATACATGATGACCTTGGTTGTCTCACAAAGGGACTCCCGCGTCTGTTGAAATAATCGTATTTTCCCTGAGTATCATCATGAAGTGGAACAGCACTTGCTGTGATGATGCTGTTGTTGCAGTGCCCCAGTGGTAGCCCCTTCTAGCTGCACTCGCATCCGCTCCTGTTGTTCAACCATAGAGGGATCGCCTGCAGCAGCACCAGCAGCCTGTGATGGGGTCGGCTTCGACGAGTTAACCTGATTATAAGGATTTATGGTATCATCATTCGATAGACCTTCGGAAACAGCAGCACCTTGTATATGTCCTCGAGGATGTTTTGAAAAGCCTCTTCCACGTTGGTAGCCTCCAGAGCACTGGTCTCTATGAATAATAGATCATTGTCCGAACAGAACTTCTCCGCTTCTTCCTCCTCTATCGCCCTAAAGATACTGCTGTCCTGCTGACCTTACTGGTGTTGTTGTTATCGTACTGACCTCAAGTGGGATAGATCGCACTTGTTGCCAACTAGCATGACCACAATGTCACTATCTGCATGCTCACGCAACTCCTTCAACCATCGTGCAGCGTTGTCGAATGATGATCTACTCGATGAGCACTGTCATCGTCCATATATATGTACTAAACTCACCGCTTAGAGATATCATACACGAGCAAGGCTCCCACCGCGCCACGGTAGTATGCAGATGTTATTGCACGATACCGTTCTTGGCCTAAGAGTAGTGGTGATGGTCGCCGCACCTCTAGGGGCGACCAACACTACTCACCTGCTGTATCCCATATCTGGGCCTTCACCACCTTCTCCCCTATGCGGACCTGTGGACCAACGTATCATGCGAGATGATGATGGTATTCTTACTGACTTCGTCGCGAATTCTACCCCAATGGTCGACCTGGATTCAAGATTGAATTCCCCTCGAGTGAAGCGGCTGAGGATATTAGACTTCCCCACACCGCTATCGCCTGACGGGAATAAACTTATCGAGGTAGAGATGGGAGTGCCAGGGAGCTTACCAATCAACACGACTTTGAAGAGATAATCGTAGTCTTCCCTCTCTGTTGTTGCTGTTGTCTTTGTACTAGGCATGGAGGTGGTAGGTGAAAACAATCGACTGATGCATAGCGCCGACCTACTCCCTCAACACGACACAATGGACTACTGCAAGGAACTATTAGGAGACAATTACAGGATGCATGCAGGAACAAAGAAGCGACCATGAACAGCAGCATCCGCAGATATCAGCCCGAGATAGATTGTGGCATGACATACCTGATTGACATCGGTTGAGGGAGTGTAGACCATAACGTAGGGTACTGTTTGAGGGGGGAAGGGGAGATGATACGTTGATAGGCATGCAGGGCATGGCTCCAATCCTTAGCACGCACGAACATGATGGAGTATTCGCTAGAGGATGGTGACCTGTGGTAGGGCTCCGACGGAGAGTAAAGGGAGGTGTCATACCTAGGAGCTATGAAGGCATCGAATATACTATGATGATGATGCTCATGCTGCGTTCCTTCGACTCGGATGAACATACGGTGATAGGAGGTATGCTAAGACGGCATATATGTTGGCGATGGGTGGTAGCCTACTGGTATGCTGATGCTACTGCTAGCTACTCCAGGCAGTAATCCAATAACGAACTCTCCAGCCTCATCCAATAGGGTAACCTAAGTAGTGCTACTGCACAGCACAGTGGTCTACCACACCCACCCGGTAGCCCTCCTGTGATGGCCGCCGTAAAGTTGCTACTAGCTGAATTGACTCCACCTGAAGTGAGCGTGTAACAACATCGACATGAGGCGAGTACCTCATTGAGGATGACACATAGAAGGAAGTAGTAATGGTTATGACCATCGAGTGGACCACATCGACAGGCTGATGCATCCAGGCATACAATGTCGACCTCTGCTGCTGCTGCTGTATCGTGCTGATGATGATACCAACTGAAGGACCATCATAGAATTCGGATAGGCTAGCAGTACAGTGCTTCCTCTTCTCCCAGCCATTCTCTTGACCTCGGTGGCGATACTGTGGTAGAGGTAATAGTAGAGGAGGAGAGCCAAGTCAGAGTGTGAGTGGTTGTAATAGGAGTTGTCGGAGGAATGGTATGGTTTATAGTAGGGTCTGATAATGACTGTGGTGTTGTTGTTGGTGATGATAATAGCGTCGTCGTCGTCAATAACGAGGGTGATTGAGTCGTGGTGTGACCGTGATCTGGGGGCACTGGATGGATCGATAGCCTCGTGCCCGTCCTCCTCCTCTCCCCCACCTGATGATGATGATGATCCATTCCAGTAGACGACTATTCTCCATGTCGCATACCCAGACTGTATTGGAGAGCCAATAAGGATGGACAACTCGAACGTGGTGATGCTTGATCGTAACAGTATTGCTAGGGAGAGTAGACTAATAAGGAGGCTACGTCCAACCTACCCTCCGATGGTTCATCCAATATCACTTCCATCCTCATGTCCTCTCCTTCCAGGTACCCTACCAGTGAGCCTGATCCTCAGTTAGTCTCACTAGTGATGACTATGACTGTCGGCACTTAATAGCTGTGATGGACATGTGATGCTCAGGTGGATAGTGTCCCCTCTAGCTATGCAATGTATATCCCCTCGATGACGATGCTCACCGTAGGGAGGCTGCTGGGTGTTACCTTATATGATTTTATATAACCGCTATCATTAAAATTCGCACTACATAGACCACCCTCTGAGTCCTGCAAAGCTACTGTAATATCACTGATCGATGACAGGTTACGGTAGATAGTAAGGGCGATGGGTGAGTGCTCTACCTGAGGGAGCATTCGCCAACTACTTACCTCACTGTGCACCCTACCCTACTATCATTGGTGTACTGTGAACTCCTATGGAAACAGGACAATAGGAAGGACATCTCCTGATGGGTCGGCATGATGGAGAACATCATGCTTAGTATCCTCACTGTGAGCCCGTATCGATGCATATCTATCTTACGCCCATTCCCCGTAGTAGTCTCCTCCCCATCCATCACAAAACCACTAGCATGACTATCACACTCGGGGTATACATACACAGCGGATACATCGTACTGTACCAATAAAAGGGTACAGTGATATCACTGTGGTAGAGGTACTACCTCGACAGTGGCTGTGTAGTGAGGTAGGGAGGAAGCTTCCAACGTGCATGTATCGGCTATGGAGACTGGGATGGAATGGCCGTCATCATCGTATAAGGAGAGCCCAGTGATAGCTAGTAGGCGAGTAAACTAGAGGAAAGCTATATGTAAGATGATGCTGTGATGGTATGTCTACGTCAGGGGGTTTCCTAATCCTTATTATGTACTCACTGCGCGCTCTATTCAACCAACCATCATTGAGAGGATCTACTAGTAACACCTACTACGATATCAGCTATGACTCCTCGTCCCACACTAGTGATACTATACTACTGATATCTCCTCATCAATTGCCCCTGCCGTATAGTTGACCAAAAGCTCATGTTGTATGGGCTCTAGAGGGGTATAATTAGCTACAGCCTGACCTAACCATCGTAGTGTTAGTAGATAGTTCTAGTAGTAGTAGTGACCTTGTATATATATGTTAGGACTTATGAAATCGGTGTTCCTGCCATACTTGCTAGTGTTGAGTTGTATACTCATCGTTATCGACTCCACCGAAGGCCACAAGTCCAGTGTGTAGTAGTATAACGAACTGAAGGTCTACAACTAGACCATCGGTAGGATGATATTACCGATTAAAATCGGGGATAAGTCTGCCTCTACTAACAATGATGGTCTCAATATCAGTCCATATAGTCACCTATAGTGAGGACCATTAGCCATCGAGCTTGATGGCCCTGCTGGCATCATCTCCATAGTTACCTGTCTACGTCGAGGGCCAGCATCGATGCAGATAAGTAGAGCGATGGAAAGGAGGTATATCATAGTATAAACTGATCCTAAGCGGGATAGTGGTGATAACACGATGGACAGACACGTGATAGAAACTCAATATCTGCATGATAGTTAGCGTCGGGGAGATGCACCACTAGTAGTGATACTGCCTGCTCCTGCTGCTGGTGGTGGTTGGGGGGAAGGACTAGGATCCTTGCTACCTGATATACGCAGTTCTAGCTGCTTTGCTGGTGGACAATATAACCTTTCATGCTGGTGTTGGCCTCGTCGATGAAGTTCTTGTAGTCGTCCATGGTGCCTTTGAAAACCTCCAAACGTTTGGTTAACTAAAGCCACTACCAATGATCAAGTCAGCGCTGGTCAGCAAGCCTATCCTCAGATAATGGTAAGCTTTTACTATCGTGCTCTATTCGCGATAATTACCCTACTGTGATTCCATAAACCACGTGGAATGTGTTCTAGACCTCCAAGACTATCTCTCAGGTCGTCACTACTATCCGATCTATATTGGTGGTACTACCTTGGCCAGTTTAGTGATAACTTCATCATCCGTTTCACTAGGGTTGCCAATATTCCGGGATACAGCCTTGGAGTGATCAAGGAAGCGCTCTAGTGTCTAGATGGTTGATGACAATCCTCTCATACTACGATGACCTGACCTCTGCCACAGCGTCCATCGACTCTGGTGGGATATCCCGCCCAGCTACCCATCCCACATGTACTGTACTGTGCAATGGGTCCAGTGTACACTCCTAGAGACGACCAGGATCCGGTCATGATGATCATGCTACTACTACCAGTATAGCTGCATCCATAGCCTCTATAGCAGCCTCCTCTACTTCATAGTCATGCTCTAGCCGTAGTGCGCCGATGACAACCGAGTAAGGCACATCACCGTTGTCACTACAAAACGGTAACTTCATCGTGGAGATGTGTAGTGAGGTCACCTTGTAGCCGCCAATGATCGGAGAGTTAAGAGCTGTAGTTTCCTATACTGAGGTGGGCTAAGGGATGGTAAGGACGTACTATCTGTGTAAGATGTGTTAGCACAAGGGTCTCGATCAACGCGTATTACCCCTGTTCATATAGTCCTCGACAGTGCCACCATAGGCAAATAGCTCTAATATAGTATACCACCCTCGAGAGGTAGTATCATCACTACTAGCTAACTGAACAGCTGACGTGGTTCTATGGACCATCATCACATATCACTACCTCCTTCACCGAGGGTACATCGAGTAACTCCCCAAAAACATATATTGACTTGTGTGCTAGTACCTCGACAAAGACTCTATCGTAATGTAAGGAATCCAATATTAGCACCTCTTGAATCAACCTAACAGTGCCTTGCCCTGTAGTAGAGCTGGCTAACAATACGAAACGTTGCAATGCTGCTGGAGTAGGGGATACAGCTGTAGAAAAGGATGTTCCCGTCATGATGATAAATAACAAGGGTTTGATTGATGGGAGTACTATGAACGCAATAGGCGGCAGATATACTGGGCAAATATCATATTAGTCGAAGCAGTATGAAATTGTACTGTGTGTAGGCAGTGTAACAGAGCCACACTACCAACAACACCAAAAATTGCTTGTTAATCTAGCTTATCGGACTGTCGAAGCTTTTCTAGTATCTGCATCACGACGATGATGACTTCGATCGAGTTAGAGTTGGGAATACTACCACTGCAGAGCTAGTATCCTCTATCTCACCATCTAGTAATAACTCGTCCAGTATGTGATACACCTAACAGTGGTAGAGTAGTGATGATGGTTACTGTACTATTGCTACCTTATCGAAATGGAATACCAGATCTAGTTCGCATACATTGCCAAAGTAGCCATCCAACACCTCCACGAATAGATGAATGAGCTCTAATACGCACATCTAAGGTTGAGAAAGGAAAGATACGGAATAGGTCCGATAATGTGCACATACCTCATTATCGTTGACATCTACACAGAAACTGAAGAATAGACCAGCATATCGACGATAGATAACCTTGAAGCTGCGGTACTCCAGGAAGTTGGTTGACCTGTGACTTGTCATATAACAGCCTGCTCCTCCTTTTCCTTTATTGAGTATTACCGACTATCCCTAGATACCACAGCCCGGTGAATCTCCCCCTCCACCTTATTCTTCTGAGCTGCATTGTATGGTACATACCACTTGGATAGACGCGTCTTTCCTTGCCTATTCTGTACCAATACAAATCGTATCATGAAGAAAAAACAGCAACAACCTGATCACAGTGGCATTACCCCAAGACCCACTAGGTATTTCACTGGTGGAAAATACACGCTCATCATCGCTCCGCTGGGGTTATTCTGTAGACCTTTGAATTTCATTGTACCCCAAACCGTTGGACAACCCGAGCAAGTCTTGTTGTGAGTCCGCTCTACTCGAGGCTCGAACCGGCAGCCTTCAGAACGCTAAATTTTCCCCCTAACTGTTAGACGTTTTCCGGAATATAGTAGTTGTCTAGTACTCTTAGAAGATCCTTCTAAATGTGGCTTCGTGGGAGAAGGTTCGTTTTGCCTCCTGTGCTGTTCACGGCTGTTCATTAGCCAAACATATGCAGTCGATGGATATATCGATGACTGCAGTTACATTTGCTTGCCCAATGATTCGCCGGACACCGTCCGGTACCATCTCGCGCCAAGACCTAGTTTTTACCCCGTGCAAGATGATCCGCCCGTTCAATAGACAAGGCTGTGTGCGATGCTGGAATCGATAACAGAGGCTCCCACAGGCTGGGAGTCCGGTGGGTGAGAAGTTCTCGCCAAGAAGTTGGGACTATCCCAGTAGGAAAAGCTAGGAAAGGAAAGCTCTTCAAGTAAGCGTCGAAGGTTAGGTGTCTTCAGGATGATCTTGGAGACACAGAGAAGGACCTTGGAGCCTCCAAGTTGGAGGTCTTTCTTTCCTGGAAACAGATTGATAGTTTCTCTCTACCAATCCCTTCCATATCTTACCGGGGAGAAATAAAGAAGAAATGACAAGCATGCTACGAGAATATGACAGGAAGTCGGAAAAACGTGGCTTTTCGGAAACTGCCAAGAAGCATGTGTGTTACTGTAGAGCACACAGTGTTTTCTTGAAGCAACCTGTATGAGGAACGTAGTACGCTGAGCGAGCAAGCTCCGTAGCCCGTGTGTAGACCCTATACCGAAGAAGTAGCATACTATGCTATTTCGTTTACAGCCGAGTATCAACACGTCTCTTAGCCGTGTCACAACAGAATTTTGTTCATCGCGTTCCGTGTTATCCTCTTATAGTATTAGAGCATACTATGAGAGTATAAGACTAATAATTATTTTAGAGCACTAGACTGTGAGTAGAGCTCATACCTTCTGGGCACTACCCGGTACTACCGGGTCGATAGTATCACCAACTTGGTGATTATCACTTGGTAACACCAAGCCATGTCATCAAGTTCAAGACATGGGTTCAACACGCGTTCAAGACTCCAACACGTTGTTTGCAACATGTTTGATAACACAAGCAGACGCATAATACTAAGTATGATAAGCGAAGTTCCAATGCATCTCGTCATAATTTAGTCAAGTCTTGATTAAACTCGTCTTAGACGAATCGTCTTAGGCGATAGTATATGACGTACGCTACCAGTTCGGAGAAGCATAGGATACTAGAGGCCGACTGTTCTGCGGTCTTAGGATGACATGGCAGAGCGTGGCTGTTTCGTACCTAGAGGATCTAGGCTAGAGCCATTCTAATGGAGTGTACAGTCTTGTGCTTCACCATGTAGGGAAGACTTCCCTCATCAACCTTCGTACGGTGAGGCTCATCGTACGAAGGTTGATGAGGGTGGTCGATGCCCGGTCACCGGGCATCGAGAATAAAATCTTCGCCTCCTGCTTGTGGTGGTCGTAAAGCAGCAGTAGTATTGCTCGGATTGTATGAAAACACAGCGTTTAATGGGTCTTCGAAAGATCGTTGAACAACGCCTCCTTCACCATAGTGGCCGTATCGTTCTCGAGGTGGAATCTCATCAAGTGTCGTTGGACACACAGGACTATAATAGCCAGGGTATTGAGTCACATTCAATGCTACTCTAGCAATCATAGTCAACATTCTTTGTCAAATGTTGTCAATGAGAACGTCTCCATATTGCGAAATCTTGCTCTTTAAACTTGAAGGAAATCCGTTAAAGATATCCGGTCTAAAGTTTCGAATAAGAGCCAAGAAGTGAGCAAGTAGTACATGTCGAAGTCTTATTGTGAGAACAATCAGATAACGTTCGAGCATCTCATCTCCAATCAAATCTAGCAGATCGAGAGTCTTGGGTCTTGTGAGTACAAATCTACGTAGTAATAATCTATATCTACGAACGATATCTCTCATCTGGTAGAATACAAACAACATGTAGTATGTCGTAGGATCTATAGGAAGGGAAGTTCTTGAACACCATCGTCCTAACTTCGCTGGAACTGGTTCAGCATTCTGCTGTATCGGAGCGCCATTGCCGAATTGTCCACCTTCTTGGTTTGGTCCAGTCTGTTCGATAACATCTTGTACAACGTTTGCAGGTCCTTGTTGCGCCGGAAGTGAGCTCCCAGAGCTTCCAGCCTGTACGGGTTCTGTACGTGCTTGTTTCGCCTTAATATCTTGTGCATCCTCTGAGATAGGTCTCTTAGGTGGCATAAGACAAGAAACTTGAGCCAGATGGCTACGTGGTCGATGCCTGGTGGCATTCAACTGCTGCCATTCATGGCTATTCCGTAGCCAGAGTGCACAGCATCTTGTGCTGATGTTTCTTCGACATGATATGATGCATCATATAGTTGGAATCGATAAAAGTTCTCTTCCAGCGAAGCTCACAACTTGTGAGTCACAACAGAGCCATCCTTCCGGAATACTTGATAAAATATAGATCAGTATGGTGTAACCAATCTGACCTCCACTTGATTCGCCAGCCGAATGAATGATCTGATTGCTCCCTAATATACTATATTGGGTATTCCGGACCCTTAGTAAGGGTTCAGTTGCGGACAGCCTGATTAGCAATCGTCCTGGTCTACTGCTGTACATCGACTCCCATCACGCGTATATAGGCATAATTAGCTCACAGTGAGCTTGCGTATTTTTGACTCCAAGGCTCTTCGGAGTATCCATGTGAGTAGAGTCTATCGGCCCTCATCTGTTCATCGTGGAGTCTCCACCCGTATTCTTATCGCATTCTCTGAGCCCAACATCCATAAATATAGCTCATCTCACAACTTGTCACCATCCATATCCGTATTACTGTTCGGCTCGAGCTTTTCGATGAGCATCTTTTACCATATCGCGGTCAGTAGACATTTTGCTTCGGTACTAACGACCAAAACTATAGCAGCATTGTAAGAATAAATTGTTGCACTAGATCCCAGTGTTCCGATTCCATTAACAATTATGGTGCTGACTGACTGCTCTGGTTATTCGCCATTGACAGTATGGACCTTGCTAACGATCGAAGAAGCTGCACATCTGACTCAGTCAGTCTGACTCATCGAGTCGTCAGACTGAGATGATCTCACTACGTGAAACTCCCATAAACTTCACGAACATCGCGTAGAACTTGATCCCTGTAGTTCATTCTACGCTGTAATGCGCGGAATAATTACGCATCGATCATCTACCGTCTATAGATGGGCAGAATTACGTTACGGACCGTTACGGCTCATTTTTACGGTTACGATTCAAGCTCCGTACCGTAAAATTACGGCGCTGTAACGGGCCGTAGAGTCGTAAGGCTTTTCCGTAATCGTAAAATGCTTACGTTACGGACACCGTAACGTAAACCGTAAAAAAACGTTACGCTGCCCATCTATACTACCGTCATATATCCCTCTTTTCAAAAGAGGGATATATGACGGTATATGATGGTGTTTCAAAAAGAGTCTTTTTGTGAGTCAACCTTAGGCCTTGCGGGTGACAGATTCGATTCTATAAGATGTTTCCGTTGGTTAAAACCCAGTGGGTTTAACCCACCCGACTCCAACTCGAAAACTTCTTTCTTAGATAAACAGTCTATTCCTGTACTTGTAGCATATCATAACAGACTACTCCAATTTCACCTTGCTCGTTATAAAGATAATCAGAATTGATAAGAATATGACATGTGCCGCCGGAGTCTACTCACGAACTTCGCGAGTTTACGCGCAGTCGGTCACGCGTTTTACACGAAATGGCGATTTTCACTGGCGTTTTTCGCGTAGTGTGAAATCTATTCTTCATTTCGCGTAATTCGCGTAGAACACTAGGCGTGAAACTGTTGTACACGTAATACGGGTGCATCTGCAATGTAGATGCCGTGATTGCTCTACGTCGTAGAGTGACTCTAACCTCCGACGGAGACTCACCGTAGAGGTCAATGAAGTTGAGTGACAGTCACTTCCACGAAGGCTCTACCAGAATCTTCGTAGAGTCTATAAATATTGTGGCTGTGCACCTACAAGTTTTAGCCTACTCGAGCTACTTCTGAGGGTAAAAGGCTACTATGGCTACTCTGGGAATGGGCTAAAGGTCTTAGCCTAATACTATCGCGTGTTCAACCACATCCCACCAAAAGCCTTTCGGCAACAGGTTGTCATCAAACTGTAAGAACCCAACTCATACAGCGTAGGCAATGAAATCAATACATTTTCTCGTCGTGTGTAACATGAGCTGTTCTTCATGGATCGGACAATCCCTCCCAGGCCTCGCCCGGCAGTTTGGCTCGGCACTTTGCCAGCTTCACTCTCAGTGAAGATATCTCTCGGCCGTAATGCTTAGAGTTGTTCACGAGTTGAGCCTCGAGATTCTGAACAATCTTCAGTGAGAGCAAATTCTTGAATGAGTATTCCCGAAGTGTTTATTGAGGTTTCAGAAAACCCTTCAAAGCTTAAAATTTGATAGTTTGAAGCTCAAACTAATCAAATGGATGCCAACCTAAGTGATCTACATCAACAGCCACCTGTATTCGCGCCTCCATAATCTTGTTAGTCTCTATATGTTCATCTCTACTCCGCTCGAGTCTACCGATCTCGGCTTGCAACTCTTCTTCTCGCTGGTTAACCACAGACTTCTTGTTAGTACTAGCCTGACCCGAGAAATAACTATATCGATGATGTACTGTCGGCCGTGACCACATGCGACTCGAAACGTTTCTCCTCTCGGGTGATTGCTCTCAGGAGTTCCTTTATCTCAACATCTTTCGCTTCGATCATCTGACGGTTATTGGCGTTCTCTCGTCTGGTCTCTTCAATCTTTGCTCGATGCCTGAGGAACCAGTAAGACTAATTCTCCGCACACTGGTCCCGTATGCGGAGAAGCTCTCAGCTATTCAGTGGTGACGACGAACTTGGCCTTGAGCGCTTGTATTTCCGCCCTGAGAGTGTCGTTGGCCGCTTTGAGTCGAGTGAGCTCGCTCAACATCTTTGTAGATTTTCCAGCCTTCTTCAGAGACTCCTCAAGAACCTACAACAGAAGAGCGTTCACCATATGATCCTTCCTTCTCGGATTCTGAGACTCGAGAACAAAATTGTCATAAAATCTACACCACTTATAACTCGCGGGTTCGACCCGCACTGACCGTCTCCAACTTGGCAATTATCTTCGTCTGTGACTTTATCGTGGCTTCGTATTTTGGCAACTTAGCAGATTTTTCTATCAACTTCTGGTAGTATTCAGCTTGTTCGACCTGTTCCATCGAGAGTCGCGGAATCCATCTTCTACATTGCACTCACGTGTATCTTCTCCAGCTCCTCCAAACGTTGTCGATCTCTCTGGGCCTTTGCTATTTCAGTACCAGCAGCTTGAAGTCTTCTGTGGAGTTCGTCAACGGTTGCTCGCTCATTTCTGTACCTTATATTCAAACTGTAATCTCAGCCTGAGGTTCTTAGCTTCGATATCGCTGACAGCGATATCGCTGATCACCAATCAGAAAGGAGAGTTGTTGAGCTCACTTCATTAGCGTTTCCTGCAACCGTGCAACGATCTGTTGACTGGAGAGGCTCTTCAGGGCTGCCTCCAAAACAGGGTCTGTAGAAGTATCTGCGCTAGTCCATAACACCATGAGTTGTTGAAAATCTTACTAGACTTGGCCTTCTTCGAAGCATCATCCCACATCCCTCGTTCCTCCCTCATTCTATCTCGTAATTGCTCATTTTCTCGTCTTATTGCTTCTAGCTGCTTCGTGAGACTGTTGACATCGGCCGAGGCCTTTTCTAGATTCTCGGCCTAACCGCTACAATGCCACTCGTTGAAGTCTTTCTATTCAAGCATCCAGTTTTCATATAATGAAATCATAGTTTAATTTTCCACAGTCTCACTGTGGCTGGATAGGAACTCTATCGAATCAATGCTTGTAGCGATAATGGACAGTGGCGAGAATATCTAGCACTCCAGGAACCGTGCAGCAAGCGATCAGTTTGCTGAATCCTTCCTACTTACACCACTGGATGGATGAAAATCATGACCTCCTTTTGGGAGGCTACGGTCCCCTAGTGCACGTGGTAAGTTCAGATATCAGCATGACATTTCTAGCTGCACCATTTTATATTTGTTATCCATGTAATAGATAAGAGATGTCGATGAGATATCACCCTTCTGGCGTATTCTCTCGCTAGATGAGCATTCACTTCTTCCCGGTCTCTTGCGATTGCAAGCACAGCCTCGACAGTGGCGTGGCCTCCTTCGACGCGGCTCGAGGAGGGCTTCTCGCGATCTGGAGGAAAGGCTCCAACAAAATCTGACGATTTCCCAGCCAACCTCCTTGCCGTTTCCCCTCCACATTTTTTGGCATGTTCGCCATTCGCCACAGTCGAGCGTCTACCTCCAGGGTGGCGACCAGATGAGGCGACTCCAACGGATGCATCTCAACGTGCTGACCATGATCAAGACCTTTGTGAGAGATCGTTGATCGTGGACATCTACATATGATTTTGCCGTAACAGCCGAAGTATCTTCTTCATCGAAAAGGGACCGCAGATCTAAATTGCCATAGGCAACTGGTTTCAACTTCCGAGTGGCCGATGCAGCGTCGGGGATGAGTAACTGATACGTTATAAGCATGCCTACGCTGTGACTCTGATCGACTTGCATGTAACTTGAGCGTGCGCTGACTACCAGGCGATGAGAGTATCATCCTTATCACTGACCTGAGAGAAAGATCATGAGGATGTCGGTTATCAATGCCAGCTATATGATAGCCTATTTCCACTGTAAGTGGAGTGCTATCAGGGCTTTTCGCATAGGCCTGCTGCGTTACGAAGCCCTACGTTCTCAAGCTCTGCTACCTGCTACTGCTACGTTGGGGCCATCGACAAGCTACAGAGATATATCCCCTATCGAGCTTCCCCTTACCCTCTCCAGTTGGGAGCAACTGAGGTTCCGACCGAACCAGGGGTCATGCATACTAGAGCCTCGCTTATACCACTCCTCTGTGGATCAGTGAAGGTCTCTTTTAGGAAACTACACAGAGGAGAGGTTTGCATACTGTACCGTGGTAGTTTCCACACATAGTTAGAGTTTGGGACTGGTCATAATAGAAGTTGTAAAAATCTGGCTCAGGAGTGCCCACTTCTCCACTGGGATGCGTTGCGATGACTGCAGCTGTAACAGCGTCGGGTAGACTCTTCGAGTTGAGTATCCGATTGATCTGCGACGTTACGATAGCTTGCCGATGAGAGAGTAGTAGATATACTTTCAATTCCAGCATGGAAGTGTTCCCACTCAGCTTTTCAAGAGGTGGCTCGTAGGTGACTGTGAAGCTCAGGGATGCCTGTCTAGAAATAACTCGAGCAGTTGGTGTCGAGATCTTAGAAGGAGAAGATTCCCACATCTGCGTCCTTGCCTTTATCATTGGGCTCGGACCGAGCCAGAACATGCGCCTGATAACAACTCGTAGTAGCTTCGCAGAAGCATACGTGCCACCGGCGAAAAGGGGTTCAGGACCGCAGGCTTGAAAGTCAAACTCGCCAGGTCCCTCGAACGCTCTTTGGAATGTGCCTAGCGGCACTGGTCTATCATCAGACCGCTCCAGTGCAATACCGTCAGAGATATTTGCACGATTGTGTCTTCTATTCGCCGATCGCGAGGAATGGGGAGCACCTATAGCGATTTGCCTTCATCATCATCAAGTTGAGCGAATGAACTCACGAGTTCCTCATTGATGTCGCAGTGGCCCTCCCAAGAGTCAACGGCACATCTCAAGGTCGAGCATGCATGCAGCACCTTGCTGTCTCTTACACGCAAGAGCTTGGCTAGCACCACACTGCTTGTCAACGCTAAGAGGGGGGTTGTATGTATCAGACATATAGTTTGAGGCTCCTACTAGAAGGGAGGGATCGTGCCCTGTGGAAGATAAGCCTGATCCTCCCCTCCTTTAGAATATCAGATGGTAGTTCTCCTTCCTGCCCAACCTGATAATGGAGCAATGTGGCCTCCTTTCAAACTAGGATACGAGATGCCGGTGGAATACTCGATGGGAATCGTTATATGCCCTGTAAGACAGACAATGTGTGTCTATTTGAGATTGTTCTCCTTGTTAGACAGAAAACTTATGTGATGTAAGTTGTACGTAACGTCTGTGTTGAGTTATTCGAGCCAAGACCGAAGGCTCATTCCACGGGGAGACGAGATAAGTTCCTAGTAGAGCTGATATAGCTCCGTCGTAGGGTTTAGAATTATCACCAGAGGCTTTACGCAATGGTGGAAGTTCACCTTCGAAAATTCCCAAGGCAAATCCGTTCCATCCCGCTCCTCATTGATCTTAATCTGATCCTCCTCCTCTAGGGCTGCCTTTGCCTCGGATGTTGACCTCTCGAGTATCCCAATGGACTCCTTGAGAGTGAGGATCTGATCGCCAGGAAGGGATGGAGTCTTTCGATGATCTTTGGCTGACTTCCTTATCTCGTTCCTCTTGATTCTTCTGATGCTCTGCCTTGTCCTCCGCCGCCATGCGTTTGACCTCCTCGAGGGACTCACTGGCTGTGCGTAGCTCTTTCTGCAGGGTCGCCATTTCTCCACCCCCTTTCATCTCTTCTATGGACCTCACGAGCCTCTCAATCTATGCATGCACAGATACTGTATATCATCATAAGAAATTAGTTTTATTGGTTCATAATTGGTGGATGATACCCGACCTCACTTCCTTCCCGTAACTCTTTAACTTCTCCTCGTAGCCATCTCGATCTGCCCTTGCTTGTGTCTCAAGGTTGTTCAATTTCCCTAAGGCCGCACTGAGGTCCCCTTCAAGGTGTTTGACTTCCGCTTCGAGTTTCTTCGACATGGAATTAAAACAAGCCATGTCCTATGTAGATGATCGGGGTGCACCAAACACTGTTGAGTTAGAACTAGAGAGTGTCGCCGTGTAACTCGAACTAGCATGTGTAAGTTGGAGAGAGCGAACCTCAAGGCTATGATCTAGCCCTAGCCCTTCTCCTGGCACTGGACAACTTCTGTTCACAATACCATGACTTGAGTCTCCTGACGAGTCATCTGAGACTAATCCATTCAAACGAGATTGACTTCACTTCATCCCGCTCTGACGGACGTGGGTGATGTACAAAATCCAAGGAAGACAAGTTAAAGGGTAAACCCGAAACCCCACCCGAAACCCGACAAGGCAGCCAGAAACCCCAACTGTTGAGAGCGAGCGACAAACCTCCTTGGATTTTGTCGTTCTTCCTTGGATTTTGTAATTTACCCGACGGACCTTCCGAAAAAAATTAACCGCAGACTTTATTGATCTTGGACACTTAAGATTTCTCACAAGTCCTCAATGATTATCTATTTTCAGTCAACTTTGGTTGTCCACTGCAAATTCAGGGATCGCGCTGTTGGGTTGGTCATTTTCATAGTTCGTATATTGAGTTGCGGACTAATGCCACGCTCTCAGAAGAAGAAGGATGAACCATGTAGGAGCAAGTCTATGCCCACTCTATCTAGTCTGGACCGGGGATATAGGAAGACACATAAAGAGGCTCCTAAATGGAGCTTTCGGCAGAAGACCTCTTTTGGAGCACAGATAAGGTTGTACTAGTAGTATTGCTACTGACTATGGTGTTTAACAACAGGCCCAAGATGTGCTATACGGATTCCTTGTCACCAGATCTCTCTCACTGTTATCGTGCCACTACTGCACAAAACCCAGCGTAGGACTATGTAAACGAATCTACCATCCTCCCCAACGAGTAACTAGGTACTCCTTGGGTCCACGATTGACCGAACATGCATCTCGGGAGAAGAGGCCAGGACCAGGGCACTATGCGTTAGGTATTCATCTCACTACCAGGATGGTATCGGAATCTGCCTTGTTAGGCAGTACTGTTAGTATGGAAGACCCTACTATGGCTAAGCCTAGGTTATGTACATTCTTGAAGGGCCCACGTGGCCCTGCCATGTGCAAGAACCCCGGTCCAGGAACGTATACGTAGTCATATCATTATCCGTGGATACGGCATCAACAACAACACTGTGTTGTCTTAGGCCGAGCCCTATTAATATGGTTAGAAATCCACAGTGGACTATGACTGGACGTCAGGCCCCTCCAAAGTCTAAGGATATAGGTAAGTTCATCACGCAGGTGTGATTGTTGCTGACATGCTCCCCAGGGCCTGATATTGGACGGTACCGACCAGAGAACTGTACAGCTAGAGGCCCTATATGTGAGTTTACGATTGCTCTATAGTAGCAGTGGGATGAAGACTTCCCATCAGGGGCTCCCCAATGGAGCATGTACTCAAGGCGTGCACCACCGAGTGAAAAGGACAAGTCTCCTGGGCCAGCTGCCTATAGGTGATAGCTTATGTAAAGTAACATTCTCACATGCGTTCAACAGGTACGGTGTGTATACAGATGGATACATTAGCAGGCCTCCGAAGTGGTCCTTTTCGACCTCTAAACGCTTCTAATGGGAGGGATAGTAGTATTACTACTAGGCTTACGCCATTTACCATGATTACTATTGCCATCATCATCTTCTTGTTGTCGTCGTGGGGACTTGCTATTCTTGAGTTGTAGTTTGTACACGTTGGGGTACTGTGCGTGAATTCATAAGGTGATCCTATGTCATGGCAGCTCCAAACGGTCACGATAGTAGAGGGTTGAGGATGGAGACACTAGCATTCCTGGCATCGGTATCTCAACGGCTAGCATTGGATGAGCCTATTGTAGTATCATAGGGCGATAAGGATCATACAGTGTCGTCGATAGGTATCGAGACATGCTGGAAGGGAGATGTATAGGCATGCTAGACGGTCAGGTATTGAACTACACGATGAATTCAAGGAGCGGTATGGCAATAATGATGCTCATATGCCGTGTATGCTCATCTGTTATAGGTACTGTTCCCATTGCTATACTGCTTTTATACCGACTATCACTACCTCCTCAATATCTGTCCATCGAGGTAAACGGAAGCACGGTAGTGTATGTGTTGAATACACGTGTAGTGCTTGTAATGGTAAGACGACAGTGGACTGCGGTAGAGTGGACCCAGATGTAAAAGAGGTAATATTGGCGCTCCGCTTCCGTTATGATATAGCCTTCTCTGTATACGAAGGCTTCACCTCCAGGGCCTGTGATGGTGTTGTCTTATTGTCACTTCGTTAGGTCGGTCCTCCCGTGTTACCTACTACGCTCACGCCGCAGGAGAATGCTCCCGAAAAGCTAGTGCTAGAGTTGCCGAAAACAGCGCAGGAACAACAGCCTAAGACCCGGGCTAAGGTTAAGAACAAGAAAAAGAACAAAAGTAGTATCATGGGTCATCGTTCCTATGAGATGTAGTGCATTGTTGCAGATGCCCTATTGAATGCATCACGACCTGCAAGTTCATTGAGTAAGGCTAGAGATGCCCTCCGAGGCGGCCCTACCAAGCAGAAGGCTAAGGCTAAGCCCTTCCAGGACAGTTTCTTTGACTTATAGTATTCCATCTCATAGTATGTGTTGAGTTGCTCACACTATTTACCGCTTTGTGTAGTAGATGTATTTATGCCTCTAATCCCCAAGATGCGTATTTCATTCTCAGCATATTTCTTCCTCAGCACAGTGGTAATAAGTGTGCCCAGTACTTTACTCCTTCACTGAGTGCCTGTCAGGTATTAGCTGTGAGTGTGGTATATGCAGCTGTTCAATTCGAACAGTTCTATCCAATAGTAGTACACCTGTCGCAAGATAAGATATCGTTGGCGGTGAGCACTAATACAATTTCGGGGACAAACGTCGATTTTTTAGATAATTTACAATTTTGCTTTCGGCCTGATAGTAGTCATGAATAAACTACTACTGCGGCTATTTGTTGGGCATCTTCGTGATTTAGAAGTCGAAGTAATATACGTAATAATACAATATGATCCATTCATGTTTCAGCAACTTATCGACTCGGGTCGTGGCTTTGTAGCTGACACTATACTATTCCTAGTCTTCTATTCTCCTACCATTAACGATAGAGTAAGTAGTAGTAGTAGAGGATGCAACCCTCTATCTATGGTCTCTTTAGGAGGTTAGTACGGTCCAGCTCGTGAGGTATGTGTGCCTCGCTATATGCCTAAAGGTATTCCATCTAGTAGCACAAATACGTGTTGGACATGTAAGTAGTAGTATCGTGGTGTTACCTTCTACTACTAGACCTATCAGATCTTCGAGCTGGGCTTCACAAGCTTCTCCTCCCTGGTGCGACTAGCAGGGCTTATTTTCCTATGTGGTATGCTTGATATGATAGGGATATGTAATAGTACTAGTAGTGGTATATGTAAATACAACAGTGATGAGTTCTCAGCAACCTTCTATGGCCTTTCAAGTGCACACTCTTCCTTCTATACTTGGTGCCTGTTCGAGGCAGTGACTATGGGACTAACAGCATGTAAGCGAATCCAGGCTGTTGGTGATGCTTTGGAAGTGGTGGTATGTGTGTTAGTGACCACTGCGACTAAGTTCATCATCCATCTCGTGGACATGCGTTTAGAACATGGTTGGACTAGTAAAACACAGTTCATATTCCATGTGGATCTGTGGGGAGATGTCGGGCAGATGACCACTTACCTGGTACTGTATATACCCTACTCCTAGCCTATCCAATAACCTCTTCTGTTTTAGTGTTTTATGATGGTGTTTTTATCGCAAAACCCAACAAGACTCCCGTTTTATGCCCTAGCTGATATACTACAGATAACCAGACAGTTGGTGTCTAGGTTGTACAGCCTTAGGAAATATAGAGCTATTACTGCTAACATGGAGGAGAGGTATGTACCACTATTGCTGCTCATCGTTTATTCGCTCTTACTCCATACACGGCATTGGTGTGTATCATCGGCTTGGTGTCACACACACACCAGTCATAGGAGTTGTTACATGCATCATAGTACCGACTCTACTATTTTGTACTGCTAATTTTGTTGCTTCTCGTTTGCTATTGAATACCTCGAATCCAATAATGATAGTAGAAGTATATTATTAGAACTTGCGTGTGGGATTAGGTTGAGCGTGATCACAATGGAGCGTGTTCGATTACCTATCCCTAGCAGTGCCGACTAAGTGCGTATCCAACACCTTGACTGTTTAGATTCCCCAATGCCACAGCAGAGGAGTTGGAGGCGCAAGACACGTGCATCATATGTCGTGATAAGCTATGGGAGGGTAGTAAGAGGCTACCTTGTGGTCATGTGTAGTAACGATAACGCTTACATTGGTGTCGAGGTGATGACGCTTGCTCAGATTCCATATTGAATGCCTCAAGTCCTGGCTAGTTATGCAGCAAGTGTGCCCCACATGTCGAGCGGAGATACCCACTACTATGGTATTGATAATGCGCTTACCATCTCACCGTCAATTCAAGGAGTGCATTTTCAGCCTCCTCGTGCCGCTGCTGCTGCCGCTGCTGAGGATAGGAGGCAAGCTCCTCAAGGAGATCAGCCCCAGGGTACTCAGCGGGAGGAGCCTGTCGCCGCTGCTGCTGCTCCTGTTGAAGAGTCTCAGAAGAAGAATAGTAAATCAGAAGGCTCCAAGGTGAGTAGTGATGGTGGTGATAGACGCTGATAACTGTGGGTCTTTTTCTTACAGGCTACTAGTTCGGCTGGTGAAGCACCGAAGGCAGGGCCAGCGACGAGTAGTGGGTCGAAGGAGCGAGACCCTACTCAACTACCTTCTGCTAGGACGGTTCAGTTACCGGGTAGGTGGTGATAATGCTTGATGGTAGTAGTGTTGGTGCATTCATCAGGTGGTGGTACTGTCACCATGACTCATCTACCTATCAAACCCCCTAGTGCTGCTGCAGCAGTCTCCTCTTCTATGGAGGATGGATCAACCTTATTGTCGGCATTAGGAGTGGAGACAGCCTCTCAATTGAAGGAGGCTATCAAGCATGCCGTGAACATGGTCGAATACTATGAGAAGGAGAAGAAGTGAGCCGTATAAGATCATCAACCTCTGGAGGCATTCAACCTCAGGTACTGGAGTGCCATGCTACAACCAGGAGTTGTCGAGTCAACGGTAGGGATGAGAGTACCATAAGCTACCAGCATGCTATTGCGTCTCTCATAGACCGTCTCGTCTTCACCACCAGAGGCCCCTGAGGCCATACAGAGGATTGCCGCGGATAGGAGGGAAGCAGTACTAATACTGGAGGAGGTTCTGCGTGTACCATGTCTGAGCGATAGGCGCCCATCAAGGAAGATGGCACTGCAGTAACAGCAAGAAATCAAGTCGCGGCGGGCTCGTCACCAAACGGAGCCCCAGCAGCAGCAGCATCGTCAGCAGCAGCAGCTCTACAAAAGGAATCTCTTGGTCTTAATCTATCCATACCACAACTATCGGAACAACAGAGATTGTCTAACGAGGGTGATGACATTGATGTTGTTGATGATGATAGAGTAATAACAGTAGTAGTAGGTACACAAACGCCGAGATTAGGGGTAGAGTCGGATACTCTACAACCAGCTCCTAAGGACGAATTTGAACTTATACGGAAGCAGAGGCAGTTACGGTAATGATAATAGTAGTCGTGAATGTAAGAGGAACAGGTGTATCGTTATTGTAGATATAAAATGACAATGTCGTCCAAATGTGATGTTACTGAGGAGAGAAGGAGCGAGGAAGAAGAGGAAGAGGAAGAAAGCTCTGAAGATGCATCATGGGACAATCTTACTCATTAATTTTTCCAGTCACCATTTTATTAATTTAATCTTGTGTTGAAGTCGTAAGTACGTTTATACTGATATTTGAGCGTAGACGATCCGTGTAGGTGAACCGTATGTACACAGTGCGGACGATATACATCAAAATTCATGTTCATTAAGTTCACGATAATTTCCCAGGTTTCACTATGAACACAACAGATAAATCTCGATATCCAGAAGGCTAGGCACCACCTAAACTCTGCAGCTGTAGATGGTTGTGCATTATCCCGATAAGACTTTTGGTACCTCGGCTTAGTTACCGATGTGAAGACGGCGCTTGGCGAACTGCTTCTTGGTGAACTTAACGATCTAGACAGGAAATGTACGAAATGACGACTATATCCCCCTGTTATATTACCCTGGTGGACTCAGCGGGCTTCTCAACAGTCTCATCATCTTGCTCGAAGATGAACTCGATGTTGGCAGGAGAGCTCATGTAGGGTCCAATACGACCATGGGCACGGTAGGTACGACGACGACCCCTCTGGGCCTCGTCGACCTGGACGTGAGTGAGAGTCATGCTCTCAGCATCAACACCCTTATAGTCGGCATTGGCTTCAGCCTGACGGAGGAGACCAAGGACGACCTTGCAAGACTTGGTGGGCCAGCGACCCTGAGTAGCCTTGAAGGCCTTAGCCTGGGCAGTACGGCCGACACCACCACAGAACTTGCGGAAGGGAACAACCTGCTTATGCTCCATGACGTCCTCGAGGTAACTGAACAACAAGCACACAATACATCCTACACTAGAATAAACAAGAAAGGCGTTGTTGTTGTTGTTGTTATTACGTCTGAGCAGCCTTGAGGCCCATACCCTTGATGGCCTGACACACCTCGTAGGTGTTCTTGTAGTGAACACGGATATCAGATCCACGGACACGGACAGCCTTCGCGGGATTACGAGGTTCGTAGGTATAACGCATAGTTGTAGCAGAGCCTTAGCCACAGAGGAAGGTTGAGAAAATACCACCACGGCTTCTTATGAGTCCCATCGATCACGCTACGCAAGTAGCGCGCGCCCGACAATGTCGCAGAATTTCGACAGGCTTCTGTGGAGGATATATAAATTGATTATCACTTGATATGAGAGGAGCATGCTAGAAGTACCCAATATATGGTCTGAGATGACTCTCCTGTTGGATGAGCTGTAATAGTGACTTCCTGTTATCGCTCTGCCTGAGGTAGGCTGATATTCCTAGTTACCGTACTGGCTTCCGATTGATACATCAAATTCCCAGCCTCTCTGTATGGCTATATAGCGGCCGTCAGTGTTCTACCTTGTCTGCCATATCACTCTAGAACCAATCCAATTAGAATAATCCCTGTACCAGCGACTATCAGGCTTGAGGTGGTAGAGGACACCTCTCAGTATCGCATGAGAAGTATGTAGTGTCTTCTGTTTATGCTGTTCTAGCAGACGAGGCTAGTACGTAGCGCATTATACACCATGTAGAGTCCCTAACTAGGCTCAGTAGGTATGTCTGGGTGATACCATTTTCATAGAGGAGGAGGGTGGTCCCTGCCAAGGGCAGACCTGGCAGGTGACTATACCTATCACATAGGTATAGTCACTGCTCATGTTGTCTCCGCACCAGTGGGTATACTCCCTCACTATCCTCTTACTCAGAAGTCATGTGGCATCGTCAAGGTGTGGGGCCCTGTAGTAAGTGTGGCAAGCTGATAGGAGAGTCAAGTTCTCTCGGCCCACCCACCCACCTCCACTCGGAGGTGCCCGCGGGATGTCAGCATGAGAAGGGCGACCGCATCCAGTGCTCGCCGCCGCTCCATATTTCATGTGGTTTTCCCACGACGATCTTCGTGTGTTGGTCATTGATAATAAGTTTGAGCTTTCTCTCTGTAGCTGTTTGGTATGGCTCCTGTTCTCAGCACTAGCTCGATCAGGGCCGCATGGTCCTAGGGGGCGCCTTTGCTAACATGCTAATCACCGTAACATCCTCTAAAGTTCTTATGAAGCTCCTTGTTAACACAGACCAGTTCGATAGCAGCCATCTTCCCAACTATTGTTAGTGATAGGTGGCCACGGTAACTGGCTAATTCATCAGAGTTCATGCTGCTCACTGTTAATATGTAAGGCCTTTCATTGTAGTGGTGCTATCTACCCCAACCCAGCGGATAAGTAGGATTCCGTTCAACACATCCGAGCTTTCAGGAGCACGTTCTCTTCTTCTACCACATCAAGCCCGAGGACTTTAGTGGGGCGATTGTTACGTTTAGGCGAGCCTAGTAGGGACCTATGAGCGCTACGCCCATTGGTTCAAGATGGCGTATTAACATCATCATCACTGTGTGCGTACGTTTTCTCATCCGCCTTGGTCGGCCTGTATCGATAGCTGGGAAGAGTCGTGTTGTTCGTATTATAAGAGGCTGGTGTGGTATTCCACTGAGAGGTCTTTCGCAGTGTATCTCATCTCATGCAACCCCGCCATCGCCTCACGGAGGCATCGCCTGTCGCTCCTACGGAGCACTTGGTTGGAACTTCGGCTTGCGCACCCTTCTCGTCACAGGTCATCACGCGTGATACTCCGGATTATAGTGCAGTTTGGCGAGGGGAGAGCCACCGGACGGATCTTCCTTCCACAAGTAGGGACGAGTGATGGGGATACTTCCTAGTGTTCTTGTGTATTCAGCTCGGCGTCATCATTATCATCGTCGCGAATCTGATGGTAAGTTCTCTGGTCGTGTCAGTCGTGAATCACGATTATCATCGGGCGCTATTGGGGAGTATAGAGATGGGTCGTATTGGACAAAGCTAGTGTAAGTGGGGTTGACAGATGCATCGAGCGAGGTGGCAAATATTAGAGGTCTACCGACGATCTTTAGTGCTCAGTTACTTGACCATTTGAAAACCATTTTAGTAAATTCTCAGACCAATTCAGTAAAGCCCAGACTAAATTAGTAAAAGCTCAGATCAATTTAAACAGGCTCAGACTAACTAAGCAGAAACGCAGACCGATTCAGTATATCTCTCTTCCATTGGACCCCCAAGTGGAAAAGGTACGCCGGTGACACGAAACGGACTCTTTTGCGTGCACTGTAGACGATACTCTGTCCTCTGGCCTCTCCCACCATCCCGTTGTTTACTGAAGCGCTACATTTACTTTACGGCGTTCTCTCTCTTCACCACCTATTTCGAAGCTGAAGGATAGGGCGGAAGTCGTAGTAGCCGTGTACCTGAACGCTGGTGCGCTTCAAGGTGGCAGTTATCCACCTCTGCACTCGAAAGCGGCCTCCAGGCTAGAAGGCGCCGATGCACTATCCTCGATCTCGCATTATCCGCGAGATGCCACCCATCAGCTTCCATGGTATTCAACATTTCTCAAACCATCACCTAAGATGTGCGCCACTGATGACGCGCAGCATTATATAAATCTCGATGCCTCATCTCGGCTCCCTATGTGAGGGAACTCCCACTGAGATTTCTATCAAATTGGTCTGGGCTCTTACTAAAATTGTCTGGGCTTCGTTAGGTGTGTCTGGGGTTACACTAATTCGGTCTGGGGTTTTACTAAGTCAATCCTCAAATGGTGTAGTGGTCTGAAGGTCTAAGCATTCCAAGCCTACATAGGCTTTCACCTCACCCGGCTTGATGGTGCACACGCGTGTTTTGGATGAACTACCGCCATTGCGTCACGTAGTATTGAACCTATGCAAGAGAGTCGATGGATGGGTCGTCTACAGAGAGCGTGTACAATGAGAGTGGATGTTGCTTTTCGATACTGCCAAGTTGTGCCTATTCAGATCTTACTACGACTTGTTGATGTCGTGATGTATTATCAGGTTGTCACTCGGTGTGGCCAAGCTTTTCGTAGAAGCAGGCCTACGTTGTGCACAGCTTATCGAAACGGCGTTCACGGGCAGGTTCTCCTACAATGGACAGTTCGTTGTGTAAGTATGATGATTATCAAACACTAGGACCTATGATCCACTCTCCTCCTCCATGAGGATTCAATAACCTCATCATCATTGTATCTACTATCGAATTGTCGGATGTCGCTTAATAATGCACGTTGCCCGTAGTGATGATGAAGAACATTGTAGACATCTCCTCCTCTTCTTCTTCTTTTGCAGCAGTTAGCACCCTCCCTGCACTATAGTGGTTATTATTAACTCCTCCTAGGTATGGAGTGGAGTCGGCAATGTTCTGTTTCATCCCAATGTTATACAGATGGTTTGAAACTCACACGCACGCTCAATATCTACTCTTCATTGGAGGGTGTGGGCCGGTCATCTATGTGTAGGGATAACACGTCTCCTCCTGTTCATAGGTCTCGTCAATGATGTAGGTATTACATGGCCGAAAACCCCGGTTCCGCCCATGAATCAGTTGGAGATCAGATTTTCAATTTCATAGCATTCGCGGCGGATGCTCTCATCTATCCATTCTCAGTTGCTGGAGCGGTACACCTGGTCGGCCGAGCAGCGTACGCCCACGAATACCATAAATCTCATCACCATTGTTATATAGATACTTCCGGCTACATGATCCAACTATTGAAAGTGACCTTCTGGATCATCGTAGACTCCCGAGTATGTCGACGATGAGTCGGAAGATGACAGCCAGAGGGGGTGAGAGCGCTCTAGGTCGGAGTTTAGCGAAGTAATGATGATGACAACACTAACATCATCAGTATTGCGAGTTGCTCCCTAGATTTTATGGTATCTATTTTGGCTTCTACTACGCTGGTGCTGGTGTATTATGTCTGCTCCTGGGCATTCTACTATTACAACTACCCCCCAGTATCGGTCTAGGAGAGTGATTACTCACTACTAGTAACACGTATTGGACGATACTACTCAGATACAAAGGTCTCTCATTTTGGGCTCTCGGTATGTTAAGCCTCATAGGAGCGTTCTCATTTCTAGGAATACCTCCTAGTCCCCGTAGTGACGTCATACCAGGTTATACACTGCTTGATCTCTCATACTACTACTAGTATTACTAGGTTGGTTTAGGTACTCCAGAGCCATGTGTTTCACCATGGAAGACCCTCATCTTCCCGATCACCCATCGTCAATTTACCCCCTATGCTCTACTGCTTATCCTCTGTGGGATGGTGAGTTTTCCTCCTCTCCCATTCGGCCCTCGAAGAGCCCCCCTTCCTGTTAGATAGAGTCATACGGATATGTAAACTTTATCATGTACATAGCTACTCCTAGGATAGGGCCAAGAGATACCGCTTTAGTAACAGGATTCGCTCTACTGGTGGACGGTTGTATAGCATTCGTGTATGGTTACCTCGTCTTTCGAGGCTTCTGCACGCTGAGGACGGTAAGCAAGAGTCTTCTACTACCACTGCCACAGATGCTCACATACTTCAAGCGTTGCCTCATTTATTCCTAATTGCAGATACTCCTTCTAGGTGTCATTGCCATAGCCGTGGGGATAGCTTTCTGTGCAGCATTATCTCTTACGGTTATGACAGCAACTGACAGTATTATCAAGTCCATTGTCGGCGTTAACTTTCAAATGGTAAGCTTCCCTTCTCCTTCACTTGGATCTGTCTCTTGGACAGGCAACTGGGGATCTAAATGATTGGGTTCAAGTGAATACTGTTGAGGCATACGACTATATCATTGTTGCTTTCGGCATCATCATCTTTGCCCTGGGATTAGTTCCCTACAAGGCTCACTTAATATCTACCATTCAGCGGATATACCAACCAACACCGTAGGTAGTAGGACTGTACTACAGTCCCTTATTCCCATCAACTAGGTACTATCTTATAGTATCCGCTCACTTTAAAGGCCTCCGTAGTGTTGGATTCGTCATACAGCTGGGGATCGATACTTGGGTATCATCCCACTATGGTACATCTCAGATCTCGAACTTCATATCGGCTCTCGTTTTAGTGGTACTTATCATCGTCATCATAAGCTCATTATCATATTATTTTCGCAGGTCCTGTCAATCCTCACCTACCTACCGCTGGGGTATCTGTGGCTATTGGAACGCTGTAGTCGTGGTCGTTGACTTAGTGAATGGAGCGCGAGGGGGGGGGGGGGGGGGAAGAGGACCTCATCCTGCATGACATATACTTCCAAGCGATCTTAAAAGCAATTCATTGTCATCAACAAGTGGACGTTGACAGTTTCTCCACTGTTGAATTAAGGCCCTTCGCCTGTCGAGATGTGAAACTCATCTTGGTCGACTCGCTGCACGTGCCTTTGCAAGATCTTTGAATGACCGTATTAGTCTGTAGGACTTGAAATTTGTCGCTTGCTCACCATCATGCTCGTCGTGTTTAGGTTCCGCGTTATGCGAAACTCAGCATCGCGAAAGCCAGCATGCTCGGCGATTATCTTGACCCACACACTTGCTGTCTTCCAGGCAGAGCTGTTGGACGATATACCATTGGTATAATACAAGCGACGTAAACTTCGAATACTTTCAGTGTTGTAGAAAGTGTATATGGACACTAAGGTGGATTCTATACTCGTCGTTATCAATGCACTGCCTTGATGCTTTCTAAGCTATTTGCTTCTTCTTGGGTTTTCTTCCTATTGCCATCGTCATAGTTACCATTCGCTTAGTCCGATTTTCTTTTCACAATTGCAAGACTTGAGTTTTCCAGTGGTCGGTTCACATGATTTCTTGGAGATATTGATGTCGAAGATTCGTTGGCTACGTCCATCTCCGATAGAATATGCTTCCATCAAGGAGTCTGGATCAAGACGTCGGAGTTCCCGAGTGTATTCAATCATGAGGAGGACGGGAGCGCATCACCAGGACAGAGGTTTATCAGGACGGATGAACATCTGTGCTGATTAATCATCAGTATATTTTTCGTGGTAGAGACCGAACTTGGTTTCTAAACAAGCGAGAATTGTAGACATTCATCGGCCTGAGAAGTAGTAGTTCGGATCTGAGAACCCGAATGGGCAAGTGATCCCGAGAAAGACAGAACCACTTGGAAGAGTGCAACTCTATGGGCAATGAGTGCAATGATGGAGAGATACTCATATTTTCGAGTTCGGGCTCGTTACCGGTTTATTCAGAATCGTTTCCTGCTTATTCAAGATCCGCGAGGACCCATGATGGGCTAGCACAGCGTGAGAATTCACTCTCAACCGGGTAAGCGGTTAACACCACACTGTTGTTGAATATCCCGGAACAGCATCATTGCCACACTCCGACTCGGAACCAACCGTGGAAAGTTATCGATGGTATTGCCATCATGGTAGCCATAGTAGGTAACAGAAGACTACTGTGCGGCAGATCATAGAGTGTTCACCCTGCATGTAACAGTACAGTTCTGTGAAGCACAGTTAAAGTCCTGTAATCTCGGAGTCGTGCTATAACCGCCAAAGTATGGCTTAATGGGGAAAAGCATATGTCGTTGGCCATTAGGGACTCACATATCGCATGTCTTAACTCCTCGGATCGAGCACTTACTGAATGAATTGAATCCGTCCCCGTCCATATGCGGAATCGCATTCACCCAATCGTGATGTTTGTGAGAGTAACCACCAGCAAATAGAAGTTTGGATAACGCGGGGAAGCTACAGCACCGTAGCATGAGGATGATATCCAACTCGATGCTTGTAGCTGAAGAAGACAGAAATTTCCTTGATAATGTTGGAGGGCCTTCGCCCAGCTACAACATAGTCGATTGTTGCGTCCAGAGACAGGTGCTCCCGTAGTGACATGAGAAGTCAATGTAATGGTCTTCTCGTTAGTGATGAGAGAAGAGGCTCTAATGAGCTGCAGCAGGTGAGTACTACTCATCTCTAGGTGAGTGCTCATTGAGTAGGTATTATCGACTTTGATGAGCCTGTGGGAGAGTCGTCCCCATGTAAACTATTTCCTCAGCAAACTAGTTCAGCGCTCAACCAGTGGTCGACCACCGCGTCAGCCCGAGAGGCGAGCCTACTGAGCGCGAAGACTCCAGTGGCTCCCGCAATGAAGACCTCACACTCGCCGTCTGCTTTGAGAGCTAGCTTGTCCCAAAGAAGCTAACCTTGGCAGCTTCCTTGATCCATTCGTAATGTTGTGTGTGTGAATTTGTTACCGTTGTGCACTGCTAAGCGCTTCCCCACCAATATGAGGAGAACTAAATATCACACAACACACCGCTTCCGCACTGAGTCTCAATGTTAGTTCCAATGGTACGTGTACATTCACAATGCGATAACAATACAAGTAAAACGAGACTAAATAGCACTATCGAAGAAGTCATCATGATATTGAATAACAGTCTTGAGACATACAACGACTGCAGCTAGCACCGCTGATGGCTCGTCTACCTAGAGTAGTGAGATGAGGACAGTTGAAGCATGATTTCAGCACACCTTGCCAGCTATCAAGTCCACGCCGACCAACTGGCATGCATCACCTGTGATACCACAGTCATAGGCATACTCACAGTACTCGGAATGCGAACTTGTCTAACACACTTCTGGGCGAACAGTCTTCGCCTGCCTTTGGTGGAGAAGCAGCAGTGAACAGAGAGTGGGACTAAAAACAAATCTTGGTCGAATTATAGATGATGTAATTGAAATAGAGAAGGATGAGAAGGTTGATGATCATCATAAACGAGATCTCCGCTTCGTCATGACAACGACGACAACCACGACATCGACGATGAGGATAATGATGATGATAATTATCATTTAAATAAGGGCTGATAACCACTCAGTTATCATGCCACGCCCACATTGAGGGCAGTAGACGAGAGAAAAGTACTCAACCGTACGCAATAGGTTTACGGTTCAGCAAATTACTGTAGTAATTCTACAGTAGTACTACTCCAGCAGATGAGGATAGCTGCTTATACACTGCGGTAGCACACACACTTTATTAGCAGTAACGCGCCGTCTGGAGCGTTGTAACAAATCTATCAATAGTACTCTCAACAATAGACTCGATGGTGATAAGAGGCTATGGGAGGCAATAGCCGGGAAGCCGATAGGGCGCAATACGCTATGCTTATGAGTTCTCGCTGTCGTCACCATTACGAACAGTATTGTTCAGTGTACTGTACATTGTCACCACACTGTAATGCTAGTACTCCTCCTCTTTCTTCTCCTGTGGCAAGTGGCAATATGCTGTTATCCGCAGGAGAGGCAGATGACAGTAATGATGATGATGGTACCGGTACTCCCCTAACCACCATTGAGCGGACCTTTTGTGCTGCCATACCAGCTACACAGCCAGTAGCTCTCAATGAGCCTTGTTTGACTTGGGACCAACTAGCATAATATATACTCGATGACACCTGTTGTACTCTATCACGAACCCTTATCCATCGTTGTCTACGACAGAGATGATTATTGGACACATGATGATGAGCATGAGAGTAACCCGATATAGGAACTGATGATCGTCCTCGCTTCATCGAAGATGCCGTAGATATCGTACTCATAGCATCTGCCTCGTCCTGAAATACCAATCAACATCATCATAATCAAACCCTGATGCTAGGCTGTGGTAGTTATGACCTGCAGTAGCTGTTGGCGCGCCATGAAGGCCGCCAAATCATCATCATCATCATGCTGTCTATCCTTCGCATTGTTGCTGTCAGTACCGAGACGTATGCGTTTCATACTCCGCAATGCTTCCTCCAGAACACACTCGTCATTTTCCTCGTGCATCTGAATAATACTACCTCCTCGCTACTACAACATATACAATACTACTTTCTGGCCAGGCAGGAGGGTTGGTGGTGGCCCCGATAGAGAGGGTATCATCACACAGGCGGTAGAGGATAATGCTGGTGATGATAGTACGCTCGATGATACACTCATAAACCTGCAAGGATAGTCAAATGATAGTAGTAGTAGTAGTATCATCAGGAGTTACCCATTACCTAGGCCGACCATCCTCGTCACTGGAAGTAAGCTCCTCGACACTTAGTGCCGGTTCTGATAGCGAATACTCCTCTTCTTCCTTCTCTACAACTTCTCTAAATTACAGAGTCAGTATAACCCATAATGTGATGGCAGTGATTCAGCACTACCCTTCTCTTCCTGGTAGAGTCTGCTTCCCTGATACTTCATCGTTTCCCTCTTCCACCTCTACAGTGCTTGACGTTGCAATAGCACTAGGTTTATCATCGGACAAGATGAACCCCACTGCCCTCTCTGTTACATCCAATGCCGCTTCGGTTGTATGGAGCAAACGATCAGACCATGATAATCCTCTGAATGAAGTAGTGTGCATGACCATCAACACGCTTAGAAGGATGCCCCCGACTAATACTTATTCATGAGGTTGTGCTTCAAACTCCATAACACTCCACCATCCTCATCATCATTTTTTATCATGTCATCCCCAACAACCCCTCGTCCCCTGTCTTGTCCCTCCTCCACAGTATCAATATCAGGCGATCCTCCATCACCACCACACTCACCATTATCGTTGATATTATCACAATCCATGATAACACTAGAGTAAGCATCCGGCAACAGCACTATGGTTGAGCAGCCGTGATGGACGTCCATAGGCTTTCTCGTGTCATCGGCGATCCCGAGTTCGAATGGTTCTATACCCATCGAGGAGATGCTGCAACTATCACTGCTGCTGTTGTTCGTATCCCTATCATGACTATCGACATCAAGTTGTGGAGAAGCTGTAATGATGGGTGTGGTGTGGTATCGGCGGTATGCTCAGCAACATCATAGAGCTCACCCTCTTTCGATGGCTCTGATGCTGTTGCTGATGCTGTTGCTGATGATCTCGGCCTGCTGCTTGTCCGCCAAGTCATTAGGACAACCGACTTGAAAAAACAACTGATGATGATCATTGATACCATGATACTAGCAGGACAGACATGAATAGTAGTACGCCGCCGCTTGTGTCGGCCTGGATATCATTATCATCGTTCCGATACATAGAGGGGTTGCTGAGGGTATTGGTATGCGTGTGAGATTCACACGCATGCAGATTCACACTGTGAATCTGTTGCCGGGCATTACGGGCCTAGGGGAGCTATCGCCCTTGAGCGTACAATGCTGACTCCAGTGATTGCGAGAGGCTCAACGCCAGATCCCTCAAAAAAATGAGAAAGGAATAACTTTGTTTAACAATGTGGGTTATAAAGTAGAGTAGAGTGAAGTTCAGCTATACTCTATACAGTATGCTATTGCATCGACTCGTGGTCGGTGAAGAGCAGGTTGAATAAGTAGTGGTTGGTCACCGTAGAGAGAATAACAGCAGGAAAGTGAATAGGATAACGTTGAAGAGAGACCGGGCACGATCGAACTGCTCCATAAGTTGAACTTCACTTGGCGCTACGAAGGCGATAGCACTTAATGAAGGAAGGGGGACTAACGCCGTCATCGAGCCATCATCGGTGATCACACTCGTAGAGTGGATGTATGAGTGATGGCATACCGGCCCCAGTTTCGATATGGCCAACGTTGTCCAGTAACCCCCCCCATGCCACGACTTATACACCGGCTTTCAGTTACTAGGAAATTGCACGGAATAAATATCACATGCCGGGGTCGAACCGGGGTGTAACACTGCGCACATTGCCATCCTATCGTCAACTGTTTCTGCATGGTCTCTACGCCCAATACATCTCCAATAATGGAGCCATCATCATCCGACCACGATCGTGTCGAGGATGCAAGGGAAAGTCCAATAGTATATATATTCGTCAACCCAACTAGTGGCGGCAATAGGGCATCAGAGTATCTTACATTGGGCCTTCAACGTATGAAGTTCCGTGAAAATCATTGCGAGGTGATGTGAGCCTCCTACACCAGCTGTTTACTGTGTACTTCTGTTAGGTGTATATATATGATATCAGTGATGGCGTATCAGGGAGTAAGCCTTCCTTTGCCAACCTAGCCGACCATGCTGCTGCTAATACTGGAGATAATGGCTCCTCACACCCAATAAGAGTCCTCGTTGCGGGAGGAGACGGAAGCATTATGTGGTTCCTCGATGAGGTTGGTACTGCCACAATACTCGCACAATACTGTTTATATTATCAGGCCATCAAGCACAAGGTCGATATAGACTCCATTGCTATTGGAGTTATACCATTCGGTAGGTGATAGGGCAACAGACTAGAGTAGAGTATTATGACTCTAGGTACTGCCAATGACTTTTCTAGAGTTCTAGGATGGGGTGCAAGCGCTCCTAGAGTCCTCCTAGGCAAACGTCTAGTTAACTTCAAGGGTATGCTTACTCAATGGCTCAATGCCAGCATAGTACCATACGATATATGGGAGGTCATAACACTCTCCATAACAGATGATCAACACGTTGCTTAGGTAGAGATTAAATGCACCAACAACGGGTCTATTCAGCACATTCATAACTCTGTGAAGACGCCTTTAAAGGGTAGTAACGGAGAGGTAATATTCGAACGAGTGCTATTGGTCTCTTTTACGGTGGTGTTGTTGTTGTAGATACTCAGAGATGTAGTAAAACCCATCTGTAACTACTTCAGTATTGGAGTTGAATCCAGGATAGGTCTTGGATTTGATAAGCATCGGACTAAGAGTAAACTTCTCAACAAAGCCGTGTAGGTTCATGTTCTCATATCGTCATACATTTATGATGGTTCTATGTAGATACGTAGTAGAAGGTACTAAGAAGCTCACATTCACTCGTACTCCCCCCATACCCGATCTGATAAGCTCTGCAACCTGCCCTAGCATAGTAGACCAGCCTTCAGGAGAAGATAGAAACATATTTACCACTAATGCAGTTGGGGAAAGGAGCCACCTAATTGGTAATGTGTGGAGTACGCGCCCATGGGTCTACCATGGAGTTTAGGTAACCCAGTAAGCATCATAATGCTGAACATACCATCTATAATGGGAGGCTGTGATATATGGTCGAAGTCTAGGAAGATCGGGATCCGTAATGATACACAGTCAGGCCTACTCGATAAGTTACAGGTGATAGGCATGAGGACATCATATACAGTAACCGTAGTCAGGACCCTGGTGATGGTAAATTCGAGATGTTGTCTTATGATACCCTATTCGGCCTCTCGGCTGAACAGCTACGTATATCACCATTCGCTGGTAATGGTCATCGCTTATATCAGGTAGTAGTAGTAGTAGTGCCGCTTTGGTCATTAACATGGACCTAAGACTGTTTGTGTTAGGGAGGTGGACCAGTAGTGCTCCAGTTCAAGGCTCTCAATGATAGTATACGTGCCTACTTCCAAGTTGATGGGGAATATTATATGTGCAAACATCCTAGTACTATGACCATACGGTAAGATGGATATCTAGCTCAATCTCGGGGCACGTTCATCTCAGGCATAAGATGAAGATACATGTCATGAAGCGTAATACTTGAATAATACAAGAAGCCTAAATGATCACCCAGCAGGTGTAGTTTTATTGAGCAGCAGTATGACCTACATGTAATAGGCTTCTAGCCTGCCGAGGGTAGATACTTATCGCTGTATTCTCTACTACTCGTCTTATCTATCGAGTGTGTTCATATAGCCTGGGTCTCCATGGTCTCTGAGTGGTGTTTTGATGAAGTAGGAAGCAATGGTAGTACTCTGCCTCTGTGTTTACTCACCCGCGGCTCTTGGCGTCTCCGTTGCCGAGTCTGGGGTGGCTTAGCATATCTGTTGCCGAGTCGGGTTTGCGGTAGGATAAGGGGCTGGTGCTAGTAGTAGGATAGGATTTGATCAAAGGGTGTTCGAGAACCCCACTGAAGCCAGCGCGAAGTCCAGACAAGGACGGTCTCCCTTGTATTGTTGGAGGAGAGGGGAATTGGAGACTCCCTCGGGGAGGATCCAACTCGGACTGATATCTAATCTCACCAGGAAGATTCGTTTTTTGCGCTTGGTAAATTGGCGAAGGGCTAAAATGATGAACTCGCCATCAATTGTCGATTTCATGGTTTTGATTCTTGCCATGTATGATGTTTAAGCCCAATAGATGGGTGTTCTTAGAAGTCTGACTAATCGGTGACTCTAACTGGTAACGGTCTCTGCAGTGTGGGGAAAGCCGGGCATTTTTTGGTCATGACGGATATAGTAATCGATCCTCGTCCATCAACTCAAAGGCATGCTGCCCCGAGTGGTAACCATCAGTACGAAGGAATATGCTCCTACAGCGACAGGCTCTCCGATGATGACTGCTCCGCGTGAGTCTGACACATGGACGTTGGAGGAGTTGAGCGAATGCTTTCAGGGAGGAGGTCGGTACGAGCAGGAGTAACTGCTCATCAACGTGTTCATCATTATCGATTATCTTTACTACGACGTTATGTAACGCGGCCGTCGGGATACTCATAATAGACACCACAGAACGTGGTGCCGGGCTGTGGGGAGGTGAATACTTACATGCTGCTGTAAGCCTGTGACCTGTTGTTGACCAGGCACACTACTCGGCCTATCATTGGCCATTATAATCTTATTGACTGCCATGTGGTGGTATAATCATGCCGCTGCTGAGGAAGAGGGAACTGTTGCTCATTGGTATACTACAGAAAGGTCGAGAAAGTGGTCGAGCGTGGCTCAACGTATCAGTTCAATCATCACCACTCTCCAGCTCATTGCTGCTGTGGTAAGTTGATAATTGTTCAATAACTCCATACGGCATATGAGATACGCTTAATCAGGTGGCGATTAGTCGTAAGTGGATGCCTCGTTGGGCTGTCGCTACGTCCCTGCTAGTCGCAGTCGTATCAGCAGTACAAGTAAGAACGAAGAAGTGTTAACCCTCTATTCTCTAGCCTCATCGGTGTTCAGTTACGGAGTCTCATGCAATTGTCACGTTCTCAGTCATGGTCTAACCGAGTTCCACCTTCATCCCAACTTATGCAACCCTAGTACTATCGTAACAGTTATAGTGGACTTTCAGCAACTGCCTCGGTATTGGGTTCCCAGTGGAATGCCGAGGGGGGGGGGGCGTTGCCACCTTCTACCCTAGGCCGCCGCCCTTAGATTGGCGTATCCTCCCCCCATAGCTTGCGTTACTGTTTGACCCTTCCAATTGTCTTAATGCACCCCACTGAGCTCTGTTTGTGCACGCTGACCGCTTTATCGTCAGCTTAGCCTCGAAGTAGTCTTGGGTCCAAGCACATATCCACTCTCCTAAAGTCCACGAATCTTGCTTCTGCTAGTGGGAGTGGTTTGATTTTCATACCGCTCACTAACGTCTTCAGCATGTATCATTGTGCTGCTGTACTACTTGGTGAATAGCTCATGCATGTCCTATCTGACTACGACAATTCCGCAGTTGGCTTCGCACCAGTACCAACGTCAGCAGCAAGTTCTACCGTCACGGGTGTCATTTCTGGATTGATTGCTTTCGTGATATGAGTCGTTTTACTCAACATAGTGGTGTAATGTATGATACGGGCATGTTCTGTCCCAATGCTAGCGTTGATATGTTGAGATCGTAGCCACAACGGAGCAGTCTATCAAACGACCCAATGAAAACTTCTCTCCCTGGGTAAACACAACATCAACAACACCGTTGCTGTAACTATCAATCCTCAAGTGTATCCTTGAGGTCACTAGTCTTCATCCGCCGCGCTCTTTGGTTCTTTAATCTTGCCTCAAGAGTCAACTCATCACTGAAGTGCATACGTTTGCCCATCTCCGCAGCATACTAAAGAAAGAAGTTAATGAATCAGCGGGTACTCTCCATGCCCACCTTGTTGTGTCCTTGCGCCTTCTCTTCTGCTGCAGCTACTTCCCTCTCTAACTCCTCTTCGCGACTCACTTGTTTCTCAAAATCAGACCACCGTGCCCTGACGATTGATCAGTGGTCATCGCATATCAATAGCAGATAACTCACTTGCCAGCCTCCAGCATCTCCTCAGCGGACATGCCCTCCTTAGAACTCTGGCTGCCCTCACCATCCCTCTGGCGCTTCAAGGCGGCCTCGTGGCGGAGACGGTTTCGCCTGATGGATGAAGTGATCTCACCAATGCAGCTTGATTGTCATAAATCAACAGAGAAGTGTTCGTGATGCAAACCTACTCTTCCTTCTCTAGATGTATCTTCCGCCTATCACTCATCTCTCCGAGACCAAGTGATCTGCGAAGCTCAGCATCATCTTGGGGCTTGCTTGTGTCAGGCGTGGGCCGCTCACATCTGGGGGAAACCACTCTTATGGCAAACCCAACCTTAGTTTGGAGATCCAGGAATACGATGAGAGTATCCCCGCAAACCCATAGATGCTTACGTCCGCGTTGGCATGCTTTCCCGTTCCCGACGCTCTCTACTGTCGTATGAGCGCCGGCGTGAGAGAGGCGATCGTCTGTCGTAGGTTCTGTAGTCATCACGTAACGGCGGACAGCCTTCGGATATAAATAGAGCCCTACCTATCGTGCCTCCGCCGATGTTGGTGGACGGGTGGACTCCGCGCATGCCGCCGATCTCTACTACGTGATCTACTCCTCTCGTACCGAGGAGCATGTCGGTGGTGATGATCATGAGACCTATAAGAGGGATCGTGGGAAATGGTATGAGTGATAACAGCCGTACCTCCCCTTAGACTCTAATCGATCATCTGTATCGGACCTCGGCTCGGACTTGGTTCTATGCTCTTCTCGTTTAATCCGCTTTTTCTCGGCCTTCTCCCTCCTCTTCTCCTCCTTAACATGCTCCTTTTTCATCTATCACAGTAGAGCATCGAATTACTGCTCACTGATAAGATCCTTATACCCGCTTTTTCATGGCCTTAAGCTCCTCCATCTGCCTCAACCTCATCTGTACGAGGGGATTGTTCATCTGCTGCTCCATAGCCTCCATCTCCTTCTTCTTGATTTGGAACAGAGGATCCTGAATACCACTACATTGGTTAGTAAGCCCTTCAGCTGTTGTATTACCTCATTAAGCCTACGCATAGTATCAGAGTTGGGATGGGTGATGTCGTTCAAGAATATTGATCCTACATAGACACCAGCAGATAATACAATCCGGCGTTGATGATGATGAGGATTGCGAAGATGTTGATGTGTTATTACCACTAACTTCGCCAGCTTGCATTTTCTTCACATCATCATTCTGTCCACCAGAGGTATCAACGGCTTCATTCATCAACTCCAGATCAGTTTTTGTCTGAATAGTGACATTGAAGCATTGACAGAATCGAGTAAAGGCATCATCCAATAACTTACCACACCAACGCCAGGGTCGTACATCCATTCCAGCCTCCTAACGGGAGCAGATGCTTCCTCGGCAGCCTATAGGAGCACAAATGACTACTACAGTCCTACTACCATCCTCTTACCGTGGCCTCAGCAGATACTTGAGCCAGCTTTGAGGACATAGCTTCGGTAATGAGCTGTAGGGAGAGAGTCTATACACCAGCCAGGATGAGTAATTTATACACTACCACACCACACAACCATAATGAGAGATGCAACACTGGATCAACGTACTCCTTGTAGAACTGTCCTCCATAACTACACTAAGTATTGTTGCTAGTAGCATTGATGATAGTTGTAATATTGGTAAGGTTATAGCAATGATGCAACGATCGGAAAGTAGATGATAGACTAGATTCACTTGGATAATGATACTTGCAACCTGTTGTCCCAAGTGGTCAGAGCGCTACTACCACTACTACATCATTAACCTGAAAATAGATTCATAGTTGATTAGTATGTCGATGACCTGCGACGCTGTGGCATGAAAATAGACTAAGGCTAGAAGGGTTGTAACGGGATGCAACTTACTCCTCTGGACGATACTGAGCTATGATGATGATACGTATACTACGTCCCATAAAGGATCGCCAACAGCATCATCGTCAAGTATGAGGTCGTTTGCTGAAATTGCAGCAGTGGCGGCATCATCATCATGATAGTGATCATAAGCTGGGATATTATTGTGGATAGTATAGATAGTTCCATAAACGATGATCGAGAACAATCGACAACTTACTTGGTGGAACTACGAAGTAATCTCGAGAACTTCTTCTTTCCTTCATGAACTCTTCCTTTCTTACCAGACGATGGAGCAACACCAGTCGCGGCTGCAGCTGGATTGGCTGGTCCAGCGTTAGGAACTAAGACAACATCAACTGCCCATGACCACTACCACCACCTCTCTATCATTACCTGTTCTAGGAGCAGCATCATACACTCCAGCACCTCCACCCCGTGCATCTTTATTAGGGGCAATCTCCGATTCACCTGAGAGCATGAATATCCATTGCTAGTAGTGAGTGGTGGTAGGCCACGCCTCATTATAGAGCTAGCTTATCACCGCTGCTACTATTACCAGGCTCCCGGAGTGCCTTGATCGCCAGTTTGTCAAAGTCTTGCATGGCCTCACTGCCCGTCACAATGACCGGTAGACTCTGGGCCTCCCTTACTATCTTGTGTGCATTGGATTCCTCATCGAAGGAATCCAGTCCAACGAATCTGACATGGTATATGAAAACAACACTATTCGGTATGGGAGTGGGTACTCAGCGAGGCCAGGGAGAGCATCAGCATCATTAGTAAGAGTAGAATGCATGGTCTGGGAATCGAACTTGCGACCTCTCTTCGCCAAGTCCAGAACTGTGTATCTAAGCAGCATTGATTCATGAATATTCCGAAACTATCGTTGGAGATAGGAAATAGCCTCACGTCCATGCATAGATAAAGTTCTGAAGGAACTCTTCTCTGACCAACAGGTCCCAGTCGCACAAATCGGGTACCTTATTGATACCATCGATACGGTGAGTAGGGATGGTAACTTACTCTGGAAAGGAAGGATGATATACCCTCCTGGCTACAGACACCATCGATAACACCAGCAAGATTTACAGGTACTCCATTCTCGGTCATAGTGCAATACAAACGGCGGAATATATCCTCATTGAGATCGACGTATACCATTCTAGCTGCCATCACGCATGATAGATTATGCCCAACACCCTCGAGGTATTCTATTGTCTCATTAACGACCTGAAAGCAGTAGAGTCATCATGCTGATGATACGTCCTCTTCTTACCTCGTCGGACTTATCGTGCATCTCCTTGTTGTCCCTCTCACATGCCTTAAGCTTGATATCATACTCATTGGTACCTACAACGACCAATAGAGCGTAAAGCGGTTAGAAGGAATGGTACTGTATTTATTCTGTGTCTTCAACACCTTCCTTATCCTCTTTTCTTCATCACCAATAGCGCCGTGTATAGCACCACGCATGACCGAAATCTCATCATATGACTTAGCAATATCCTGTAAACGTACCTAGATAGCAATGCTTACCCCTAGGGCCATTGATAATCATGACTCCTTACCATCTGTGCAGGTAGTTGGAGGTCAGGATCATCGAGGAATTGCTTCACTACTGGAGTGTCCACCAGTACCTACATGGGCTCTAGTACATCAGTCTTGAATACCTCTAGAGTAGCTCTTACGAAATCAGTGCACAGATTGAACTCAAGATTAGGAGATTCGGCCATCACAACCTCAGCCTCGGATGAGGATGATACCTAAAGACAGGCTCTATGAGTAGACTAAGGACTGGATCGTCATGTACTTGTTCATCCTCAGAGTCTGTATACTCTTGAGAAACACCACGAGGGACCTGCAATTGGCTGTTGGCTACTGCCGCTGCATCATTGTACCTATAATGTGACTATTCCCACCATCCTGCAAAGCATGATAACGCTGCTTACATCCTAGGTACATTCTTCTTGTTATTCCTCTTCCAGAACTTATTCTTCCGAGCCTGTTTCTCAAGACTCTTGAAGAGTGCTTGTCTGAAGGCTGGAGGGAGCTCTCGTTCATCCTTCCTCGTGCGAACCTGATCAAACAGACCGCATAGTAACACTGGTGTGCTAGCATTTTCATTACTATCCTATTAAACGCTCTGCTAGCCTTGATACTGATAGGGAATACCACTCCAATTTCATCACCGGCAGGAGAGGTTGCACAGCAGTCAGCGTATTTTACCACGCATCGTTCCAGCTGAATGGATTGAGGTGAAAAGAGGAAGGAAGCAACAAAGAGGTATGTGTAGTACATAGTTCATGAATATTGGTATGGTAACTCCAGTTGAGATAGGCACGGTGCTGACTGCAGTGGAAAGGGATTCGTTCATGAATGACCACAGATCAACACATTTGGATGAATGCAGAACCTAGTGTTAAATAATACCTGGTTTGAATGGTTATGAATACACTACCGCTGGGGGCCTGGTCGGGGTCCATCTTGATCCATCCTCAGACGTGGCGACACAAGTCTTACTGACCACGTCCTCTTCGAAAGCCTCCAAGCGTGCATTCAATGCCGCAGTGATCTTGGGGATCATCAATCCCTAGATGCACAAGAGAGCCTCCCCATAAAGTAAGCCATCTCAGTAGTACTATTACTACCAGTAAGCTAGTGTCAGGGGAGTCTACTGCGAACTTCACATACCTCCCCCATACAACTGTAGCTGTCAAAAACTCGGGACCACCCTCGGGTATCTATCCAAGCACGATGGATTACGATATAAATCGTTGTAACACAGTACCCAGTCTGTTGGCCAGAGATACTCATCCTTGGCCAAGGTCTCATAGAGAGGTCTCAACTGCTCATTGAGAGCCCAGGACCAAATGTTGTGATCAGTAGGAGCATCAATATTACCAAAGTTGATGACTGTTCGTAGCTGAGGAATGAACTGAGTACTACGAGGTATCCATACAACAACGAATCACGGCTATCTCAACACATATCGCTACTACTAGCATCAATATAATTATTGTTGTTGTTAATGACCTTGGTTACATACCTCCTTGGCTGTCTGCAGTTCGAAGCACGCCTTCCATACATACTGCGTGGCTTCCTCTAGCCAATCTAATCTAGCCTCTGGAGAGGAATGAGCTCTTGCTAATTGTACTGAGTCGAGGATAGTGGTGGAGAGAGGGATAGATCTCTCCTAAGAGGCAAGCACATACAACTACTTCATCACCGATGAGATCAATAGGGTAGTGTGCTCGACTAGGCCTTACAGCCGTTGATGCCGCTGTTTCTGCCTCGAAATGTCTCGGCATAACAAAAGTGAGGAAGTGTTCGGATTCTTCATTGGACGGTCTGCTCCCATCAGGAGTTTGCGAGTTCAAAAGGATCTAAAATAGACATCACGTATAGCTAGGTAGGACAGTGTAGTAGACGTACAGCAAGCTCCCTCCAAGCATGCAGGATAGCATTAGGGCTCTTCTCGTCGCCTTGTAATTGCCCACGATAGTCACACAATGCATTAACTGTTGCATCACGGAAGGGCGCTGTCTGTACTCTCATGCAACACCTAAATACAGATAGCAATAATATTCTTGTGTAGTAGCAACAGTGGTGAGTACTCATCATATTGTTCTTCTAGTATATGACGATTATCCTTCTCGCCATCAGCACCCTCACTGAATGACTTAAATAGATCGGCTGCTATCCCCTCGATATATCCAGGAGTTATAACCTGATACATATCCCTCTCGGGCTATTCCCTACAGCCTCTCGTCTAACCTCCTCGATTGAAGCAGCCGCAGGACCAGGCCATTCATCCCTGCACTTCTCGGACCACATCGACTGTGCCAGATGTACTCCATGGTACCTAGTAGTAGTAATGCCAATGTATAGCTCATAGTATGGATGCAGCAGCGGGACCTACTCATATGCCCCTCTTGTGAGTACATTGAATAAGACTGATGCCAAGTCGTTGAGTTGTGGATGTAGTTGACCTGATTCGGTGGGGTGACGATATCGATACCCACTATCATGCTACTACCTTCTCCTCTAACATCTACTCCAGCCTTCCACAGTCTAGGTAGTAGAGGATGCAGACTTGCTGATGGATAATGGAGAGTCTGAGAGGAGAACGCAATATGGAAGATAGTGGAAGAAAAGTGCAAGAGGTGTGTACTGAATCGGACGCCTTCACCGGCTGTCCATTGGGATTGTGGATTGGTTGCATAACATCTGAAGTAAGGATGTGATAGAAGCAGGACTGTGCAGCAGATCGTAGATGATGCCGATCACAGAAGGGTTGGCAGATAGAGCCCCTGCACACTACCATTGAGAGCCTCCAGCATCTGCTTCCATGAATCTGGCTTGCTAGGATGGAAGTCCATAATGGCATTCTTGACCATATCTAACAAAAGTATCCTCTCCCTCCATCATCATCATCGGGGCAGTGTATTTCCACAAGGATATCCCGTAACCTACGTTACCTGGCACACCTCCCATAATCTTCTGTACACAGTATACTACCCATCGTACCATTGCACATTGTCTGAGGCAGAGAGGAAATTCCGAGACCAGCTGCAGCAGCAGCAAGAAGGAGAAGAGCACGAGGACTAGAGTGTCTTCCCTACCTGACAACCCATTGTGAGTAGATCTTCTGGCTGATAGGCACTCTAGATTCTTTGATATCAAAAGCAACCAGCCTATACAAGCGGAATCGTACGTCTAATGGTGGACCTAGGGAGGGACCATGGACGATAAGCAGCTCATATAGTGCCCAGGATTGACTTACATATCTTATGGCCATTTAGATCAGGTAGAAGCATTTCCACTATTTGCTGATGTAAGGTAGCTGATATACGTAGACGGAGCCGGCACATTTGTATACTCTCCCTGATGAGGATGGATGACACACTATCGTATAGTCTATTGATGGTCCCAGACGGCAATCTCAGAAAGGAAAAATGAATACTACCTCAGGGCATCCTTCTCATCTTTAGACATCCTGAATGTATTACCATCATCATCAGTAGCTTTGAAATATGCCAATAGAAGCATCTCATATGCTAGAAGATCCCTGATTATAACACGGAGCAGGAGTATGCTGATCTATCCCAGCTGTTGCTGCCAGTTCTACCATTGGTTATCCTCCATTTTAAACCAGGTTAGGTCCCTAGATGGAGCCTCCCCCTCAGCTAGAACAGGAAGCGGCAGTACCTAATCGCACAGCCCAACTATATCACACCGTCTCGTCCTCGAGAGGAGCCCTCCAGCAGACCTTACATGAAGCCGTTCATGCTTCTCTGCCACCGAGACTTTGAAGTCGCGCATTTCATGCACTAGGAATGATTGTTCATCATTGTTGGGTAGAGGCAGAGGGAATGTATAGCGTAGCATATGATCCTATCCAGAGACGATTCGTAATATTACCAGTACTTCATACAGCCTCCTATTGCTATTACATTGTAGCCTCCATCTGGTAGTACTGGTTGACCGCCAGTCTCCAGCTCATCGGCTGGGGTTAGCTTAGCATGCATTAATCCCAAAGCATCTGATCAAAGGATTGCTGATAGACCTCTACCCAGACGATACTGCTAACGACAATGATCCTGCTGGAGACGTTCTAATAGATGAGAAAAATTAGACTGCCAACGCGTATTCCGAGTGATCAGATGTATTGCAGTTGTGGAATGTAGTGAAGCAATGATAGCTGTCCTACTACCTCGCTGACGTAGCCGATCTAATTCGTCTCGGATCTCAGCTATCTGACTGTTCAGCAATACAATTCTCTCCTCCTTTAACGTGAGCATATCTGAGAAGACACTGGGTGAACCTTAGCTGAGAGATCTCTACTACCCGTCTCGGTAGATTTGTAAGCATCAGCCGACTTCAACACGGCCGCCTGCTCCAACTTGGCACGGTCATCTGACCGGGACACAATTGCCGCAGGAACGGGGTACCCCCAACGCATGCATACCTAGACTGAGTTCCTCCTCCATCTGCTCAGCCAGAAATATCCTCTGTTCCAGACTTGCATCCAAAGGCGACACTCGTATATGTACCTTCCTCAACGATCATCATCACCACAGCCATGCACTCGAAACCTCTTACATCGCTGAATGTGATTGATCGGCGGATGTTCTCTGCCAACTCGGACATAATAGCTAGCAACTGCTTGGCTGTATCAACCAGAGTGAAGAACTTCGATAACTCGCACTTATCGATGAGCGCTAGAAGTGTGCCCCTGAACAAGCCGCAAATGTCTCCCCAATTGGAATGTTGGACTTACTGTTTCTGCGCTTTGATCTTCAACAGCTCTTCTAAACGCTCGGCGAGGGAGTCAACTTTAGCCACACAGTCCATCTGGTTCTTCTCCGCGGCTTCGACCTTAGCATCGATCTGACAATGACAAACGGATAAAAGATTAGACGTCCCTGTAATAGCACTAGACTGCATTACACTTTTCAATATTCCCTTCAAACTCTTCTCCATAGCCTCACCAACATTGCCCGATCCTTCCCTCGTAACGGCGTATCTTGCATATTATACACTAAGACACTCCCTCCGCAGTAATACGGCACATAGTTAAGGAATACACTACCTTCGTTTCGTTTCTGCCCGTACACTCAAGGCACTGGCAAGATTCTGATCGGCGACAATCTTGGCCGATTTTGCAGCATCTAGCTCCTCCTGCAATACTTTAATGCGTCTATTAAGCTCAATGATCTCAGCTAGAGCTCTGAGCAGCGGGAGTAGGGTATGAGCATATAATTAGAAGTTGATCGCCTCACCTCTCCGTCGCTCTAGTATGGACTTTTATAGCCACTTTAAGGTTGTCATCAAGATGCCGTCGGCTTATGTCATCTACCACTGATTCGAAATGTCGTGCAATAGACTGCCCAAGTCCAGTCAAAGAGCTGAATATTATAACGATGACCAAGAGTGAGGAGAGAGTGGACATTACTGGGTTGCCATGGTATACCGCTCTGGCTGTCGGGAGTCTGTCGACTCCTCTTTGGAGGGATCCCGCAGTTCGCTACGGATAGTTTGCTGAAGCAAAGGCAAATCAAACTATGTCCTACAGTATCGGGTTGTCTCGATAGGGCGAAATTGATCAGTAACACTCCCATTGATCTACCGCAAACGCCTTCGAACTGTCCTCTAATGCTCCTGTTAAGTTTTGCAGCGTACTGAGGGACTTGTATGTCTCCCTAGTCTTCTCGGCCAGGAAGTCCATATCGAGGGACTGAAGGCAAACGAATGGCATCAAAACTGTACGATGCGTGGCAGATTTAGTAAAGCTATCCAACGCGGCTGCCCCCTGTACTACTCCTTCATTGATAGTTTGTAGCCTCGGCTCATAGCCTTTGGCTATGTTTGGTATGATACCTTTGTCGATAGGGTCGACATCGGTATCAGTATGAGTAATACTACTGCCAGGAGGTGTGGATGAGTTCGAGACCGTAGAGACGATGCGGTCAGGCTTCGCATCTTCAGCAAAAAAGAATACATTGCCGAGTCCCAAAACATCCTATCTAGTACCTCCAGTCGGGGCTGTACTCAGAGGTGACCTGTTCATGTCGTCCAATCACCACAGAGACTTAAAAAACAAGTTAAAACAACTAAGCCGAGAGCAACCATGTATGACTTGAAGGCAGAGGGACCACCCCACACCCGTTTATAGAAGGAGATGACTCGAGAAGCTGATATTTCATACGACAGTCCTGCTACCATAACCACCTCATACGACCATCGATGGTCGGTGCCCATCACCCTTCGTATACCCTTAAGGGAGTATCCCAACTACGTAACTCAACACCTCTCTGACCTATGCTTTATCACTACACCATCAATGCCCTAGTTCGTAGGTGGGGCCGATATGCCACCACCCCCAAGACGTGCCTCGCCACTCGATTTTGGAACAGCATCGTCAACCCGACCGGAGTGACATAATAACATGGTACGTCGCACTGAGTCCAGAGATGGCATACCAGCCCCATGAGCGGAAAGACGATGCCCATATTTCGTCAAAAAACATCTTGCCTAGCATATACTGTAGAGTTCGTTTAACCAAGACGCGCTCTATAACGGTGGCATAGCGGCCCCGCTAAAGGGAACCGCTCTTCCTAAGGCCGTTAAGAAGTGTAATAACACTATTCGGCAAACCTTAGTAGTACAACAACAACCGAAGGTCCCTGCACACAATACAATGTGACGCACCGTCACTGACCCAGGACCTGCTCAAATCAATGAGACGTACCCACAGCAACATATACAGACGATGATGCAGTTCATACGCGGGTCAGACGCTAGCCAATCTTACGATTAGATACCCAGCTTGTTGCGGGGTAGTCAAACCGTTCATTCCATAGAAATGTAGGTCAACTTCGACCGTATGTCATATGGTGTATGGCAACGACTGAATGAATCAAGCCATTCAAATGGCATTCTCCAACCCGTATCTCGTTATGAACCTTCCACGAAGCTAAAAGCCCAACGGATCATACAATAGTCTAGCTTAATCTCGACACTAGCGCGAGGACATACCCCAGATGTATGGTCCCTATGTTGACTATTTCTTGTCTTATACGTGTGACTTAGAGTTCGACGCTTCTGCTCTCTACTTCTTAACACTCGGGGTGTTCAATAGACCCCTCCTAAGCTCCAAGAGTGCTCGCAGGATCGAGATTGAAAACTCAAATTCAACCCTGAGGGCACCCTTAAAGCTTAGCAGAAGTCTCTCCAACACGCCGACTAATTTTTCGGAGTGTGCATAGCCTTTCCGTCTTGAACTCTTGTCAAATCCTAATTCTGCGACGCAGTTCGTTAGTCTAGAAAATCGACATATTGATTATTCTAGCTCTTGTGATGCCCCATAACGGGGCCGAAAGCGCGTTTCATAGTGTCTTAGACACATGAAAGCTCGCTGTCGGTCTAATTCAATGTTCTGTCGGATTGGATTGCAGGAGGCGTGACGCCAGTTATTTCACATTTCGTTAACAGAATGAACCGGCAGATTGTAGCACAGGCTTCCGTGGGCCTTATACGCAGTGGAATTCTCTCAAATACTGCACCAGTGGCTGCAACGCTGTCTAGGAGATCAATGTTCAGCACCAGTCGAGCTGTATGGGCACAGACGAATACTGGTCCACTCCCTGAGGCGGACAAGTTTGAGGCGGCTAAGAAGATATGCGATGAGATGGATCAGTCAGCAGCATCCTTGAAGACGAAGCTGGATAGTGTCAAAGAGCCCACAGAGTCTGTGGAAGACTCTGAAGGAGGGGAGTTGACAGAGGAAGAGCGGAAAGCCAGAGAAACTGAGGCTGAGAGGCTTGCCGAGCAGGCTGCCGCCAGTGAGAAGTTGTGGAATATACTAGTAATAGGGGGTTAAGAAGAGGGTTCGTATTGGTGGTTATATACCCGACAGCACTACTTGCACTGCTACTGTTGTTAGGTCCCCGAGAGGAATATGGGTCTCACTTCTCCTGCCTTCCTCATACTCCTAGTGTTGACCATTCTATTGCACATGTGAGTTGGTTGTTGCTAATGGTGAGGTGGTTAATGGGGAAATTGCAGGTATAATAATCATATGGACGCAGAGATGGATGAGATTATGAAGAAGAAGCGTATCTTGCGTATCAAGAGGGAGAAGCTTGAGCGGGAAGGCAAAGTGGATATGACCTATTTTCAACCAGTAGAGGATGAGGATGCTACCGAGCAAGTTGGCGATAGTACTACTGACATAGTTAGCTCTACCACTGATAATGGACCTAATCAATAAGCTGTGTTTCTATTTATATTAACATGTGTCATTGGTCTTTGCGTCGCTAGAAGAGGGGTGGGCAGCTTGTTATTCTACCGTAGTATCCGTTCATTAACCCTCCGTGGGAAAGTATGGTACGTACGGCTGATGGGGATAAAACCCCGTCAGTGGCCAGCTCTGATCCTCGAGGGAGTACAGTCAGTACTAGGTTTACTAGGTAGTCATGGAGGGTGGTTGTCTCCGTCAATGCAAGTTGGTAACCCACCATGCCAACAGGTCCACCTTATCACGTTTGGAGAAGGAGCGCTCTCGTTTGGTATTGGAGCTAGACGAGTATCGAGAGTCTAATGTGGCCCTTCGTTCCGATCTTGAACAATGTGTTGATCGGTAAGCTTCTGATGGGTTTCGCCAGGTGGTGGTAGTCTGCGAATAGTATCACGGCAATGGACAGCACTCAAGGGATGAGGTGTTGGATAGTCGGTCTTGATAGGCTCAACGCTTGTGAGGACGAGTTAGTCTTCCAACATAATGAACTTGAACGTTCGACTAAAGAGGGGTTTCACTTGAAGAAAAAAGTAGAGAAGATGGACGCGTAAGTAGGAGGAAGATGAAATCTATCACACGGTTGGGGTATAGGTTGTTGAAGCGAGAGTTTGGTGAAGATGCAGCCACGCAGTTTAGTGCCTTGCTGGATGAAAATGAGAGACTGCAAGATGAGTTGGATGATATGGCCGAGGAACGAGAACAATTGGAAGCTGAAGTAGTGGTCAGTAGTGGTGTCTCATCACCGTCCGAGTCGGAGGAGACTCCTTAGCATATCAGTTTTCCTCAGCTCCAAAATCACCCAACAGCTGGCTATGATATCAATGGTATGACGCAACAGGTAGAGCAGTTGACGGAGGATAATAAAGACCTCTCGAGTGAGATTGACGATTTGAGGGAAGGTACTAGGGACATCTCCATCTTCAGCCTGGCGTTCCCTTGAATGCTATTGACCCCGAGTATTGTAGGGTTACAGCGCTGTCTCTTGTCTCAGAGTCGGACCGTTTACGGCGTAAGTTAGCAACACTGCAGACGGAGCATGACGTCGCTTTGGCTAAGCTCTCTGTACTGGGTTATGTTACTGACGATCTCGATGGATCTTGATTAGGCTATTGACGAGACAGCTAGACCGGTGGTGCAAGAAGGAGTCCAAACCGATGAGGCTTGGATGCCTACTGTGGAGGAGGGGAGTGAGGAGGAAGATGTTGGTAGTCTTGCAGCATCCAGTTCCCCAGAAGATAGCAGTATAGGGAGAGAGAGTAATACCAGCAGTAGTGGGTTGGGGACAGTTATGGACTTCCGATGGATGGGAGAGATGAGCAGGCTGTTGGTAATTGTGGTACTTTAGGAGGCCTCAGCCAAGATACCGAGCTGAATACTCTACGTATGGCATATGATCTATTGCAAGAGGAGAATGAGGAAACTAAACACCAGCTTGTAACCGCATTGTCATCATGCATGCCTCCATAGATAATTTGACAGGCTTTATTAACTGAGGCAGCTGAAGGCGACGGTGTTGCAGCTCGTCTGATAGATGTCCAGCGTGAATACGATGAATATCGTCAACAACATCCAGATATAGTATGACAGTCTCCATCTCCAGTCATACCCCTCCATCTTAGACTCCGAGTACGTCTGCTGAGATCTCTTCGGATACAACTCCTCGGAAGGCGAAGAGCAACTCGTCCTCCATAGCAAGTAGCGCAGTTATAGGTATTCGCTCGTTGCAGTATCCCCCTCTTGGCCGTTTTGTGGATCGATTGGTCATAGCGTAACAATGGAATGGTCGAAGAATAGATCAGAAGACGGTTTGTAGTTTGGGTATAGTTCGTAATGGCGATCATAAGCGTGGATCTTGGAGTTCCACGAATGATGTCTGGGTCGCCATGTCGTTCCTCACGAGATATATATGTATCACTTCGGTCATGTGAATGGCACACTGTTGCTAGTCGGGAGGCACGTCATTGTATTTAGTGATGTTCTTTTAGCACCGCCTACTCTCTCGCGTGAGGACTCTAACAAGATAGATCCATTAGAGAAGCAGGTCGAGGATTTGGAGGCCTCACTACGGGATAAGGATGGCAAGATCGCCTCTTTACAGGAGTAATGTGGTCTGCAGAGACAGTAGAGGTATGTATGTCTATGTGTAGGTATGTGGCAGATCTCGAGAGGATGCAGAGGGAGGGTGTTGTTCTCAATGGGCAAGGTAAAGAGGTAGCGGCTGGTGATGAGGGTGGAGGTGAGCGCATCGACTTGGATAACGAAGCAGACCTAGATGATGCCCCCTCCTAGGTCATGATGATGCGAGTAAGGTTGCTGCAAGGTTAGCTGGTGAGATTGAAGGCTATCAAGAGCAACTGAAGGCAAAGGATGAGCAGATAGAAGAGCTGAGGAAGTAGTATTTGGGGTGGGAGGGGGTGGTGGGTATCCAACGAATAATACGGAAGAGGGTGACTGAGGGTACATCAAAAGGTACAAAGAAGATCATATAAGTAATGAAGAGACCGTTGTCTCCCCTTCCTCCTATGCTACCAGCGCCGAGCCTACCAAACAACTACCTAATCGCGGGGAGTATTATCGGGGGTTCAGTTTTGATTCGTAACCGGGGCATTGTGTTTGTCGTGGTGCTTTTCGGAGACCGAGTTGGAATTATCGGAGCACTCAGTATTTTTTAGGTTAGCCGATGCGGCCAGTAAGTCGACAGAGAATAGCACCTCCAAAGCTAGCGATGCTTCAATGGTGAGTTGTGGATGGCGCTTTCTCGATATTGGGCTCTGTGGGTCTTCCACCAGGCCTCTATATCACAGGACGATCTCGCCTCTCTGAAGAGTCGATGTAAGAAGCTCGAAGAAGCTAAGAGGCTCTCTGACTCTCAACTGGAATATGTCCAATCCGAAGTAGTATGGGAACAGATGGGAGTCCACTGTTCGGTCCGACCTCGATCCTTCCATTACGGGGCTTCTGTTGTATCTTAGTACGACAAACTCCGGAAGGAGAAGGAGAAGCAAGTGATGGAATTAGAGCACACCATAGTAGACACGAAGCTGAAGTTAGCCCAGGTAATCTCGGATTGGAATCGGCCTCTGATTATCATAGCCCACAGGTGCATACGCAAGCCGATAAGACTGAGTACAACAACTATCGGTCGGTTCGGAACTTCGACAGTCAGTATGGTCGTGACACGCCGAAGAAACATGAAAGCAGTCATCGTAGGATCCAATTCACTGAGGATCCTTAGTAGTGTATTATGTAGATTCTTCTGGATCATCCATTCGCTCACGGAGTAAAGGGTTGGCCAAATCGGTCAGTAAAGCCCTTGGTAGGAAGTCATCAACGGCTGGTCTATCTAGTAGACCTGATCACTGATGATGATCAACACAACCTCTGCTTCGTGTACTCATAGCCTGTTGAGCTCCTTTGACTGTATCATTGATTGGATTTTTACCGTGCAGTGAGCACATTTAAATACGTTCCACTGTTTCTTCATCACCAGAATCTTTGTTGAGTTAACAGTGATTATTCGGAGCGGTTATGGATTGTTATTATTACAGCAGTTCTTCTTGTTCAACCTTCGACGCCGTTGTTCCCTTTCCTGTTCCTTTCCTTTTACCACTTACCTACCAACAAGGCGAACCATTACTCAATTGTCTAGTAAAGCACTCAGCAGCATCAATAACAATCAATAAATAATGCGGATCAACGAGCATACCCGTTTAGAAGGGAGAGTCTGCATACTAGTGCCTTACACTAAGGAGATGGTGAGGGTTAAGGTGTGAGGAGGAGACGTTTATTCAGGTCTTAGGTTGATACCTACAACTCGTGGATGTCGGGCTCTGAAGAATTACGGACTGAGACCGAGAGTGAGCTTCTCACACTAGAGGAAGAGTGAGTGCATAGGAATCCAAGGCTATTGCCAACATCGGCTTTTGATGGGAATAGGTACGAGATGCAAGCCTCGTGGAGGGAAGATGAAGATAAGCTCACATTCATCGTTCTCGATCGGGATGTGGAGCCAGATCCCAACCTCGGCACCATTGCAGCTGGTAAGGTTCGATCGAGTGCATATCCAACTGGGATCAACTTGAATTGCCTGTGTAGTGGTCAGTGGTCTATCAGGCGGTGGTATGTGTGGAGATGTTAATTGTTTTGTCTCTGAAGTCGATGATGATGATGATAAACATCCTGGTCGAACGATCAGAGGTAATGGATACTCTCATTATATTGGGTTTTGCCCGGCATCCACACTTCTCCATTTAGAGGGAGAGATATCCGTTATGACTGCGGTTGCCTCTAGTCGACATAAAGGAATAGCCCGTGAAGCAGTGACCATGATGGAGGAGTACTGTAAAGATAAGCTCCACATTGATAGGTTGGTTGGATCGATTATACTCAGCTTGTGGTCTCATGTGATCTCAGGTTCATAGCTAAGATCCGCCTATCCAACCATGCTTCAAGAGATCTATTCAAATCTCTGGGTTACGAAGAAGTGAAGATTGTTAAATGTTTCAACGAAGTTCACTGCATTAAGAGCTTAATATAGATGTATTAGTCTCCGGCAGTAGTGGTAGTAATAGCAACAATGCATCCTTGCGTTGAGTACGAGTTAATCTAAAGCAAGGATTGGGATAACGAACCGACCTCGTGCTCAGCGCTATATTCGGTTTTGAGGTGGCCGAGCTGATCTCTTTATTAACGGTAGTGACAGTGACAGCAGTGATATCTCGGGCTGGCCTGTCTGTCCCTTAGGCATTATCTACAGTGCTCTCTTCATCCAGGGCCACACCCGCGGTGCACACTCATTCCTCACGTGTATGGATGGCTCCTTGTGCTCATTCCACGTGGATTCTAGACTTGAAATATTCGTTTTTCATCAAACGAGTGGCTGCCTGGCCCAGGGATTCCCTGGGAGCCCCAGTAGCTGAGCCGCATCCCGTCACATTCGATGATGGCCCTCTATTATTCTTGCTGCTTTTTCTGATCAAGGAGCATGTATGTTCACGCACCTCCTCGATTCAACGTCCTGTATATAGTGGCAGTTATTTCATCTAGCATGGCAGATGGCTCAGTTGATCAGACCTCTGGTACATTGAACCCGACGGATGAACCAGCTCATTATATCTGGGAGGTAGTTCATCACCATCCTCCCGACTCCTTGAAATGCGCCCGAGCTCAGTATCATCCTAAACAGGTGCCAGAGTATCCTGAGGTTAATAGAATGGATGGAGTTAAGAGATGCTATGTTACTGAGATTAGAATAACCAACTTCAAGTCGTATAATGGGGAACATGTGTAGGCAACATCTGCCAACTGTCTACGTCATCGATTCCACACTCTCGAGCTGGTTTAGGGTACCACTTACCATACCAACGAGGCCAATGAATACACAGAGCTCATCTGATGATCGCGGAGATGAACAGGCTGAAGAGGACAGAGTGCCCCTCACCCTTACTGGTGTCATAGGCCCTAATGGGAGTGGCAAGAGTAAGCTGTTTGATGAGAACACTACTCATAAGTACTGTTCATAGGCAATCTACTGGATGCTGTGTGTTTCTGCCTGTGTGTGGGAGCTAGGAGACTACGTAATGATCGTCTCAAGAGTCTCCTGAATACCAATGCTGTCACGGAGGCTAATGGGGACTCTTCAGCCAGCGTGTCTCTCACAGTGAGGATTGAGAAGGAGTCAGGAGATGCCGAGACTGGGTGAGTGGAAACTGGACTTAGCCGTTGTGGTGTATGCTATGGCTCATTTAGGCGCAATCTATGTGACACAACATTCACTAGATCGATCACTATGAAGCCTGTTGATGACCATGCTAGACGGGATGTTGGGGAGGAAGAGGGAGGCCATGATGATGATGATACCCTTGCACGAGGATCTGTGGTTGGTTCTGTCTATCGGGTTAATGATGAGATATGCACGCAGACCCAGTACAAAACAGAGCTCCTGAAGTAGTGTACTTCTCATGTCCATATAAGCATACATACTTAGGCACCATCTCGATGCCGATGCCTCCTTTTTCCTCGTGTTACAAGGACAGATAGACAGGCTCCTCTCGAAGGATGATGTAATGCATCATGTTGTGGAGGGCTTCATCGTTATTCATACTTTAGGCGATGTCCATCACCAAGGCGATCGAGGCTGCATCAGGATCTTGGCGATACCGGAAGGATTATGACATTGTGGCCAAGAAGAAGGAGCATGCTGAGGATGCGGTTGCAAGGCTAATTGCTAAGAGAAGACAAAGTAGATGCTGCCCGTCTCCGTCTCTCGTAGTCAGGACTTACCTCAGTTAATCAAGAGCTCAATGCACTGGCAGCTCAAGTACAGGAGGCTGATCGATACAAGGATAGGAAGGCCGAGCTGGAGAAAAAGCAACGTGATAAGCTCACATACAGCCTGTATGAGATAGAGAAGGTAGGGGGCGATGCTCGATAGGCATGTGTTGTTAGTCTCTCTGTAGGAGGCGGATGCCTTATTGGAATCCAGTGAAGGGTTGCTGGAGAGCTACGAAGAAGCCAAGGCAGCAGTACAAGAAGCACAGCGGCAACAGAATGCTGCAGGGGAGGAGAGGAAGGCGATGGCTGAGGAACATGACCGTCTGCAGATGAGGTGACGGGCGAATACCTGCGATACATAAATCACATCTATTGATCTCTCAATGATTTTAGTTTGGAGAAGGAACGCAGAAAAAGAGAAGAGACAGAGGTAACAATGGCAGAGCTGCGAGGCAAGAAGAAGCAACTGGTAAGCATGATGTCGCAATGAGCCCTCTCGCTCCTCTATAGAGACAGTGGTGAGTGGATGGTCTAGGGAGTGTTCACATTGTTCAGACAGCTAGTGAGGTGGAGGTGGCTGGGCGGATCGATACCACGAGGAAGAGCTTACGAGATCTGGAGGACAGGCTTGGAGATATTGACGACAGGATCGTGGAAGTAGGGCATGCTGTACTCCACGTGTTGTGCATCGGGGTATCTCAGGTCAAAGCTGCTCTAGAGGCTCTGACCATCCGTCGTGGTAAGGTAGATGATGAGATTGGAGGAGGAGTCTTAACAGAAGAGATAGTTGAGGAGTGTGGACAAATCGAGGAGAGAGCGCAGGGAGTTGCTGGTGAGAACCTCCGTACACCCAGTGTGGCTTCGTTACTGCTCCATCACGGTGTCAGCCTCCATTGAGAACTCTATCGACGCATGCAAGGAGCAGCAAGTGTTGTTGAGCCAATGTATCGACGAGGCTAAGGCTACCATCACTCGCTTGGAGGAGACCAAGGCTTTGAGGCAACGCGAGGTTGATGATGCAGGAACTGGCATGGATACCTTACGGGAACGGCTGCATGCCCGAGAGCTTGCTGTAGCAGAGGAGAGGAGGGAACGGGTGGAAAGGAGAGAGGCTAGGAGGGTGGTCGAGGAGAGATTAGAGAAGGCTAGAAGGGAACGGCAGGCCGTAGCTGATGAGCTCTCATTGATGAGGGCTGGTCATCGTGAGAGTGAGAGGGCAGCCACACTCAGAGCTAATGTAAGTCGGACGTGGCATGTGCAGTATTGATCGCTCTAGTCCTTGTCTAATATGCCTTATGGTACAAATCTTACTGTAGGTTGATCGACTTATCAAAGAAGGACCACTTGAGGGGGCTCGTGATGGAACATCTCTCGATGGTCGAGGTAAGGGTTACCTGATCCTTGGGCTGGTATCCGACTTGGTACGCCCATCGCATAAGAAGTATTCCCAAGCTATAAGGGCTGCTATTGGTCGGCAACACTTGGAGGCAGTCGTGGTCGGGACTAGAAAAGATGCATTGGCTTGCATAAGATGGTTGAAGGAGAAGAAGATACCTCCTATGACATTCATCCCGATTGAGGTAGACTACCGCGTAATCGTAGACTTTGGGCATCTCTTAGTCAGCAACTCTAGTAGTTACTATTAGTAACTTACTAATACTTCTATTTGTTTGTGGGCCCTGTAGCAGTGCCTTCCATGATGAGCGTCGTCTTCATATTAGGACATAGACCTGCCTGGGCTCCTGCTATCAAATGAAGATATCCCTTCCAATTCCGGGTTGCGGCGTGCTGAGGACTGTGTTAAAGCCGTCAATCGGGTAGTGCTGGAGTAGCTGGGATTCTCCTCAGAGTGCTCAGGTACCGTCGCACTTGGAGAGGGTAGGAGCATCCCAACGCGGCATCGTAGAATCAATAGATAAACTCCATAGATGGTTGCTAGGCAGGAGCGTCGTAGCAGACACCTTGGCCCAGGTACTACCATTGGGGATTCCCATGTTGGCCTCTCGGAGGGTCCACTCTTTATTGATGTATTCGTGCTAGGCTCGTTCTGTATTGTCTCGTAGTGGACGGAGAAAGTCCCCAGTGATGTCGTCTGGTGTGAAGGCTGTCACTCTGGATGGGGATACGATTGCACGGAACGGCAACATGACTAATGGGCAGGGTACAGTGCGTGGCAATACTGGAGATCTTTGGGATGCCCAACAGGTGACGCCGAGTTGTATTCATTAGCTCATCAAGCATTGCGCTTCACTTAGATTGCCTCACTCAAGGCTGAGTTGACACAGAAAGACGGTGACATCGTTCGGATAGAGAAACAGCTAGAAGAGTTCAGTGATATCAAAGGGGATGTTGGGGAGGCCGTCGATGGTGATGATGATCGCCCGAAAGACCTCCAGACCGAAGTAAGTCGCACCCTTATCGGATTTGGACGAGGACTCTGTGAGGTGCGATCTTTGATTACATAGGTATTAAGGTTGGAGATAGAGACCTCGGAGAAGGATAGGCAAATAGCAGAGGAGGAGTAGGGATGAGCATGGTTAGCAACCTCATTACTACACATTAGGATCGCTCGCCTGGAGGCTAGGATAGAAGAAATTCGACATAGTCTAACAGATTTGGACACACAACGGGAGGAGACTACGAACCGCATGAGGGATCTTCAGCAAGAACTCAGCGATAAAACTAAGAACTTCTATGAGGACATCAACAAGCGGGTCTTTGGGGAGGATGCGGCGGACAGTGATCAGGATGTGGTGAGTGAGGCCGGGGTGGCACGTATGGATATATTCATGGATATCAGATGGCGTTGATAAGAGACCGAAAGGAGTTGATCGACACTATCGATAGAGAGATGGGCCGACTAGAGCAGCAGAAGGATATGCTAGAGGGGAAGCGGGAAGGATTGATTGAAGATGTAAGCTGTAGGGTGTTAGTTATGATGGATGCACTTGAACTACGGTGAATGTAGCCCAACAAGAACGTCTATCGCTTTTTAGTTGGATCGATGGAGATCGAATCTCGCCTCTCAAGAGTCAAGTCTGAAGGAACTGCGCCGTGGTCTAGAAGAGCTACTTAATGAGGAGGAAGAAGTGCGCACTGAACACGGTGCGAGAGGGCAGACAGATGGAGAGACCGTGAAGGAATTGGAGGCAGCATTGGAAGAGGCGATTGCTCGCAGAGATGAAGCATCCAATCGATGTAGCAAGGGGAAGTTGATGGTGGTCTCTCTAAGCTGTCTTCTTTACAGTTGATGTGGCCGTCCAGCAGTTGAAGGCCAGTATTGATCGCTGTAATGAAGTGAGAGTTGTTGTTACCAAGGAGGAGCATAGACTACAGCAACTGAGATATCATCATATGCAACTGGTAGGATAGTCATGATGACTAAGTCATCGTACTGGGGTGGTGATCTTGAGATGGGGGCTAGCAGTGATCTGTAGAGGGGGGTCAGTGGCTTCATGGACAGCACACAGTGGTATCAGGTGAGATCAATCCTGTCACAGCCAAGAGAGCAGCAGCAGCAGCAGCATCAGCATTCTATATTGAGTACTCAAGTAGAGGAGGAGGATAAGCTGCCTTTCGAGAACGCTAGCGAGGTCTTGCCAGCTCTGAAACGAATTCTATTCGAGAGAGGGTGTAGTGACGATGAGGAGGACGAGGGTACACAGGATATCCTGGATGAATACGATGCACTGGAGTTGAAGGTCGATCAAGGCATCGTGGGGAGGATCCTATCGGAGGCTTCATCAAGGCGAGGAGCTAGAGCAGGAGGGAAGGAAGTAATGGCTGTACTCGAGGATGAGATAGAGCGGTTACAAGAGATTATCACACATTTGAAGCCAAACCTCAGGGCATATGATCGGAATGAGGAGATGAGGAGAGTAGTCAAGGATGGGGGCCGACACTCCGTTGTTGGCGATATCTATCCACTCAGGCGCTTACAGCAGTCACTCGGAGCCTTGAAGCGGCAAGATTGGAAGCAACTGAGATTGGACAGCATTTCGAGGCCGTTAAGAACGCACGAAGGAATAGGTAGCCAGTCCTGGTCTACGGCCTCACAATGCATATCACATATCAGATTCAATGAGTGTTATGCGTTCGTCCGGGAACGTGTCATGACTTATTATCGGCAGTTGACGTCTCGAGTGGCATCCCATCGGCGAACTGCAGACAGTGGCGGAGGAACACCAGAGGATGTTCCCCTCACTCCTGGCCCTCATGGGAGAGCAGCAGCGCCCACCGGTCGGGGGTCTGGTCAGAACGATGCAGGTGGATCTGTATACTTGGATGCTGAGAATGTGACCGAGCCGTGAGTATCCCCTGAAACCGTGCCTAATACCACGACTGCAGTTGTAAGACTACATTGTTGTTGGAAGGTACTTGGGTGTAGTACAGTTCTCAGCCCACCCAGAAAGTGACCGTTTTGTCGACAGCCAACTCCTCTCTGGTGGAGAGAAGACCATAGCTGCGGCAGCTCTTCTCTTCTCCCTATTTGCATGGCAAAGGCCCGCATTGGTGAGATGCGCCATTGAGGAACATCAATTTACTTGGTATTGTTAGATACTTCTCGATGAGGTGGATGCTGCATTGGATAAGATGAATCTGTCAACTCTCTCGCACTTCATTCTAGGGCACACTTCTCAGTGCAAAGACCCCGATGGAATACTACAGGCAGGAATGTTGCAGCCTGGGTATGCCTAGTTATTAGTCTTCAGGTTATATTGGTCAGCTTGAAAGAGAGTTTCTATGCTAAGACGCAGGCTCTGGTAGGAGTCTACAAGGATCCCCTAAAAGATGATTCTCATCTTCTCTCGCTCGACCTACGACCGTAATATTTATCATTTCCAAGCGGAGCATTGAGCCGGGCTTGTATCCTCTTCTCGCTATAGGTATAATGGTGATGCCGCAAGCGGGGAGGACAGTACTGACAGTCATTACTCACAGCAAGTTACTAAGCGGACTGCACAACACCCTAGAAATGACTCGTCGTTGGACAGCACCAACCATCGCCGGATGGGAGGTTGATGATCTATCGCGAAGGGATTGGATTCCAATATGTGGTTCCATCGAATATAGGGGATCTCATAGAACTTGTAATCTATGCGTATGATGCCAATTAGCTACTTGGATAAAGTTTCTCGGTATAGCCCATGAGAGCTGTGCTGCAGTGCTGTGACGGGAGTTGACTGGGATGCACCGCATTGAATTTGAGATGAGATGGATCTGAGCCGCTTATTTACGGCGTTAGTTTCATGTGAGTTTCACCACAAATACCAGATCAAAAACCATCGAATTGCAGAGCGAAGCTTAATCGTGGGCTCCTCTTGTATGTTGCGTACTCCGACTCGCCGTCAGGAATGGCAAATTGCCATTCCTGGGATGAACCAATTGCCAATGGCAGTTGGCTAGACCGACTACTGGTTCAGTAGTATTAGCATGTAACAGCTTGTTTAACCACTCCACTATAAATAACGTTGAACCAAGCTCTTAACACTACCAGTAGACCGTCCACCTACTGCATACTAAGTAGTACTTGGTTGCTGGACCCCAGTATTATTCCGGGGTCGAACCTTCGATTTATGGACTACTAGTCCAACACATTAACCTTCTAGACTAGTTGAACTCTTGTGAACTCTAACCCACGCTGGAAGATGTTGGTTGGGACGGGAATCGTCTGTCACCAAGCTTGAAAAAGAGCTCGTTCAGTTACTTAAAGCATCGACTTTGGCGTGATCCGATCACGGTGATCGGCGCCAAGATGATAGTCCATGAAGACAACCGACTCGTTTGTCTCCATATGGATGCCTAAGTTATACGGATGTTCTCCTTGGATGTACTCCATGTTTCACTCTTGGAGGCATCCAAATATGAGAGTGAAACATGGAGAAGCCAGGAAATAGAACCGGACATATAACGGACTTATAGCCGTGGGCAGGCAGCACTAGGCCGCAGAGTTTTTTAATTCGACATTGTATGAAACAACTTCTACTCCATAGCCAACAGTTTGCGAGAATACAAGATGCGAAGTAGCACATGGGCCGGATGCATCGCAGCGGGACTCTGCATCTTAGGTACAATACTACAGTCGAGACCACCTTCTCTCACTCCTCTCGCCAAGTCTTCGTGATGACTCCGGTCACCCTTTTTGGCCCAGCGTATGCTCAAAGTACATACACTTATCGAACATCTCCTCCTCATAACCGCCACCCCTCTAAGCCCGCTGGACAAGGTTCAGTGTTTAAGGTTAAGGTAAGGTGTATCGTTTGAAGAAGAATAAGAAGAGATTAGCTAGTACGATATTGTTAAAGGTAAAAGTGCGACGCTCGTTATATTCAAGCACTGAACACCAGCGTCAAAGGACTCAGACACTCTTGCTCATATTCCATGATTGTCACTTGCCCTCCTCGGTATTCAACGTAATACTGTATATCCATAAACCACCAATGTTCAGGGGAGTACGAGGGTGTTAGGTGTACTACCCGCCTCGTGGGTTCTTCGAAATATAAATCCGTCTCTTTGATCTGGGGGATTAGCTCAAATGGTAGAGCGCTCGCTTTGCATGCGAGAGGCACCGGGTTCGATACCCGGATTCTCCACATTCCTCTCCACTTGTCTGGGTTCTTCCATCGTGAATCAGGGTACCGTGTACAGAGTCGCTCCCTACGATGGAAAACTCGGGTCCGCGGACTTCATCCACGCTCAAATCCTACTGGCGACATCTTTTCATCTGATCAGTCGATGACTATTCCGCATTTTTTATTACATCTCTCACCTAGTATAGATACGGTCGAGGCGTGGTACTATAATCGTGGTGACATGGAAAAGTATTATGAGGTGCGCTACGTTTGCACTGTGGCACCGCTCCCAGAAATTTTGCTGTGGAACCCACACTTGGTAGGCCCTGCAGTTTCACAAACCTCTACAATCGTGCAGCAAGCTACTCCGCCCCCCAAGCTGCTGCTTGAGCCTCGCCCAACGCCAACTGCGTATAAATTTCGCCCATTCGCCTTATTCACAAGGTTAGTGGTGGACATCTGGTAAGCATTAAGGAGAGTTTTACAGCCCGAAATTAGACAACTTGTCGACGAAAAGTTAATTTCATTCACAAGATCACAGATTATCGATTGTTATTTAAAGTTGCCTCGGAATAGACTCCGGTCCGCCACACTCAGCAATTCGTGCATGGCTAAGGCGACAGTCG